GGACTCCGAAACAATGACGCTTTTTTCTGGGTTGCTTTGTAACCAATTGAAAAGGGAGCTTCCACCCATTTTCGGACCACCCCTCAAGGGTTCACTTTCTTGCCGGGTTCCCCGCAACAATCAGTCAACACCAAAAAGGGCTTCCTTTTTTCTACTAGGGCTGACCCACTGAAGGTGAATGGCTCGACCTGGATCGCCAGTTGCTGGTTCTTTTTTCCATGCACTTTACCCCAAAACACAGCAACAGTGACTGAAAAACACAATCGCAACTAACTTGGCTATCTAGGGAGTTTGCCGAGTTTGGGCTTAGGAGATGGGCTTGAAAGGCACATGCATCACCGCGTCCGGGCCAAGGAAGACAGCCGCTTGGAGTTCTTGCTGAGGACGCTCGCAGTCGCAGGATCTCCCCCGTCCGTTTAAGACCTGGGCAAAGGTGAAAACCCAAACCTGCCACCCGGTTGCAAGAGGATCAGGTGAACAAAGCCAGTGGAAGTGAAGGGAGTTCCTTTCCAGGAAGTCTTCCACAGTGCACTTCCATGTACATTGAGGATCGCTACACCGGCTAAAGATCACGCGGTGAAGCGAACTCACCAATGGCTTTTGACTTGATTGGTCTTTAGCCAAGTTCAAGGTCTATGCGAGGTACAGCCTGTCTGATTCTCTTTTTCCAGCAGCCGCATTGCCGAGTTTGCCAATTGTGTTTTGCTCGGATCGTTTTGAGCGGCAACGACTCAGAGTCGGGGGCTTGGAGTTTTCTCTAAACCTCCCCGCGGAGTAGTTGACGTTTCTATCGGAGTTGCTTTGCACTTGCCCTGTGCGAATCCTAGCTGAAGAAAACTTGGATGATCCACCGCTTTCTCCTCACCGGATGTATATGACAGATCATCCCGTCCCGTTTAAACATGATAACTCTTACTTGTATTCCGCTCAACCCTACTGAGCATGAGGGGTCCACTAACCATCCCTACATCTCCAACCCCAACGGTTTTGATGGACTTTTGGGCTCCAAAATCACGAGTTTTGAGACCAACTCGGTGTACGGAAAAAATTGGTCATGCCTACCAAGCCTAATTAAGTTGAAAAAAAACATTTTAAATGTTAGCAGTTAAGTGGTTGGATTTCCCACTCAAGGCGATTTCAACCACTAAACCACAAGCACAAATGTGTCCAATTTTTCCCAACAACAGCCATGCCTACGGGCTGTGCCAACCCCTTTTAACTTGTTGCAAGCTCACGGGCGTTGCTCACGATGGGCGATCTGGGGTCCGAGGAATGCGAGGGAACACGACCCTTATCCGATCGGGGCCTGGTGTACGCGGAAAAAGGTCCCCCAATGACAAACGTGCTTCGCGGCTGGCTGCAAGAGGAACCGGGACCGCATCGCGGAGTTGGACTGGGACCACTGGGATCACCTGTCCCAGGCTGAAGCGCACTTTGCGTTCGCCGAGCTGTGGGTTGATGTCCGGGTATGGTCCACACCTAGATAGCCAAGTTGCTGTTTTGTTTCAGTCACTGTTGCTGGTTGTTGGGGTAAAGTGCATGGAACAAAAATAGCAACTACATAATTTTCGCAAGTGCATCACAAGCCATGGCAATTGGGGCTCCCCTGTTCCCCTGCGTGATATTTAGGGCATGCGAAAATGCCGTAGCATTTTCGAGTTGGTAAAGGGACAGCAACGTAAATTCGCAATGCGAAGCTCCCTTTGGCCTCCCTTTCACGGTTTCCCGATGCCAGCAGAAGTTTACATCCGCCCAGAACCGCGGTTGTGGAAAATTATGGCCCTTCCCGTGATACCGAAATGGCCTCCCTATGACTATGTCTGTTTACTGAGACCCCACCAGCCCGTTTCTCTGGACAAAAGGTTTGATGGAACGTCAGTGAATCGAGAGGGAGCGCGTCGATTTGTCGTCTGCGTGTTTGCTTGCATTCGAAGCTCTGTGGATTTGGGCACATGTTGAAATATCCAAAATGGTGGTTTCCTTGTGCGAGAAGTTGAGTTGTTGTGTTTCTTGGGGCGTGCAAGTGAAGAATGCAGCGGTTGACGCTGAACCCACCACCAGCGCCAGGGCTTCACGGGGCTGGTCAATCTTTCTGATTCGGTCGTAAGAAACTCACCTCGTTGCCACCTGGCCACCTGGTTGAAGAAAGCTGATTTGGACCCGTTTAGATAGCACAGACCTATCACTATCAGCAAGCAACGCCTTGCAGACGATGCCCTAGGAACTGTCTGCACCGACTCCCCGTGTTCACAGCCGGTTCCAATCAGCGCTCGCCTTCGCTTGAAGTTCTCAAGGCGCCGCTTGCGCGCGGGGTGCATTAAGGAGCAGATTCGCTTCCCAAGAGGTGGCCAGAACCAGTTGAAGCGGCGGCTTCGCAAGATGAAGGCTTCCCAACTCCAGACAATCCGACAGCTTTTTTTTTCTTCTCCAGCCGCCGGTTTTTTTTTTGGCTCGTTTTTTGGCCGCGAGCATCCCGGTGCAACCGAGGGCTTCCTTCGCCATGGGCAAACGCAGCCGGCCAGTGGCGTCCCCGGCGCGAGCGCGGCGGGCGGCCGGCAAAGGGCCTGCGAAGCTGGCGCTGAAGCCGAAGGCTTGGGTGCGATTCCTTCAAACGAAGCTGCACCACTTAGCACCGGAGACCTGAAACCGTCAGGTGTCATCTGTCTTCTCGGAGGGGGCCATGTAGAAAGTGAGTCGTTTTTTTTTCCCCAACAGCTGAAAGCTTTGTGGTCTCAGCCCAGATAGGCTCCGGGGTGGTCCGGAACGGTTTTGAGGTAAGGTTCCGCCAGGTTCCACCAGGGTTCCACCAGGGTTCCAGCAGGGTTCCACCAGGGTTCCACCAGGGTTCCACCAGGGTTCCACCAGGGTTCCACCAGGGTTCCACCAGGGTTCCACCAGGTTCTGCAAGGGCTGCGGGGTGGTTCGGGATGGTTTGAGGTAAGGTTCCACGAGGGTTCCACCAGGGTTCCACCAGGGTTCCACCAAGTTTCTGCAAGGGCTGCGGGGTGGTCCGGGGTGGTTTGCGGTAAGGTTTAGGGTCCACCAAGGTTCCACCAAGGTTTCACCAATTTCTTCGAGGGCTGCTGGTCCTCCACAAGGGTTCCACCAGGGTTCCACCAGTTCTTCGAGGGCTGCCGGGGTGGTTCGGGGTGGTTTTGAGGAATCCACGAGGGTTCCACCAGGGTGCCACCAGCTGGTTCCACCAGGGTTCTGCAAGGTAAGGTTCCATGAAGGTTCCCAGGTTCCACGAGGTTCTGCGAGGGCTGTGGGATGGTCCGAGGCGGCTCTGAGGTTTCAACAGGGTTCCACAGAGTTCTGCAAGGCTTCCACAAGGGTTCCACAAGCGTTCCACAAGGCTCCACAAGGTTTGACAAGGGCTCCAGAAATGTTCTGCAAGGTTCCGGAGGCGTGTCGTGCGCCCGCCGTCTGAAAAGCCACCGGACGCTTTGCTCATAGGCGGAACACTAAGCAAACCGAAATCAATGGTTTTCAGCACACTTTCACTGGCCTGAGCAAGTACTTGCTCACTTGCTCAGGCAACGCGGCCCGAAATGTTGGCTTTGTGGCAAATCAGATCACGTTGCTGCGGGACTCACGGTCCAGCAGAGTTAAATGCTTGGCATTGTTGAGTATTACTTGGTGGGCTTTATTCCACGAGGCTGCGAGGGCCATGGGGTAAGGTTCCAAAAGCGCTCCACGAGGTCTCCACCTATGGGGCAGCCCCGAGGAAAGGTTCCAACACGAGTTTTACGCGGTTTCCACAAGGACGGTTTGCGAGGTTCACCGGGCCCACGTCGGGGCCTGATTGCACCGTCGGGCCCGATTGCACCGTCGGGGCCCGATCGGCCCCGATTGCGCTTTTGCTAGATACAGTTGTAAGGCCGCGTCCTAAGGAAAGCCGGCGTTGCCATAATATGGGTGGCTGGATCGGGCCCCGATCAGGCCGCCCCGATTGCACCGTCGGGCCCCGATCGGGCCCCGATTGCGCTGTCGGGATCGGGCCCCGATCGGGCCCCGATCGGGCCTCGATTGCGCCGTCGGGCCCCGATCAGGGCGCGATTGCGCTGAGAGTGACAAGGCGGCATCCTCAGCAACACCGGCGGTGAGGTGGTGGTGCTGTTGGGGATATCGCCTGAGCTTATTATTTTTTTAAATCAGCTTAGCTCGAGTTGTTGGTTAGGGGTGGTTGCACATGGAGCCTCTACTAGAACCGGGGCTTCTAATCCCAAAAACCACCAATCCAAAGCACCAATTAGGATTACCCAAATTCGATTCCGTTTGCAGTGCTCTAGACCTCACCTGTCGTCTTTACCTTCTTCTCTGCCCCCCCGGAAAGTAAATATGTTGTTTTTGTGTTTGTTTTCATGTTTGTCTATGTTAGATGTGTTTGAGGATGTGTTGCATGTTTGTGATATGTCTCATTTCGGGCCTTAGGTGAAGCCGGCGCGGGCTGCGCCAAGGGCTGCGCCAAGGGCGGCTCCAAGGGCGGCTCCAAGGGCGGCTCCAAGGGCGGATCGGGCCTTGCCAGGCTGTGCACAGAAGGTTGATACTTGAGCAAGACGCTATTCAAAAAAGGTGTTTGTTTTGTTGTGACTGTTGTCATTTGAGAAAGTGGCAACATGTTTGAAATTTTCCCAACTGTCCTCATTGCCTTCTCAACTGACAACCTTCTGGATGATCAACGTGATAGATTCTTTGTAATTGTTTGGGCCCCTTAAAACGCGGCGTACGAGGGTTACAAGAGGGGCCCATATGGTTTGCAAACTGAAAGCGGACTTGCGCGCGGAATATTGAGACGAGGGGTAGGCTGCCTGGTTTCTGTGAGAGGGAAGCTGCCATCATGTCACTGAAGTCAGAGCTTATAGAAAGTCCCAATGCCAAGGAAAACCCTTCATGTCACAATTCATGACTGTTCTCCTAAAGTTCGCACAGAGAAGCACCAACAGAGCATTTGTGCGGCACTTTGTGCTCCCTGCTTCGGTCTGAAAGGACCAAGCGAACTCGGAGCCTGTTGACTAGGGACGTGTCCTTTTTCAGGGGACCCATTTTTGGGGTCTTCCTTTAAGTCCCCGAAAAAGCACAAACAAGTGCCCTCAAAAAAACAATTAAACCCATATATGTATATATAGATATTGAATTATAAGTTTTTTTTGGTTAATATATTTCCCCAACAGCTGAAAGCTTTGGGGTCTCAGCCCAGATAGGCTCCGGGGTGGTCCGGGGCAGCCCTGAGAGAAGGTGCTGTTGGGGATATCACCTGAGCTTATGTGTATATTAGTGATACTGGAGTTTGGAAATGAACAATTCTAGTGATGTTCGATGTCCTCATTGGTGGAATGCAAACGACTGGTCTCATGGCTTCTGAATTTGGAGCCGAGGGAATTCTCCAGGCCTGCAGCCTCGTAGGACTCAGGTCAGTTAGTAACCATAGGGTTCCCTGCCCTTAGAAGGGCAACCACGGGGACCGGTGGTGATACGCCTTTTTTGGAGGATGACAATTCTGAAGGGAAAACGTTTTGGTGGTGAACTACGAAATTCTTGGTGTTAATGGTGGTAACTGAACCCCAGGGCATGGTTTGACCCGCCAGAGTCCTCGTGACTCCCCAAATTGAGTTACCAACTAACCAATAGTCTCACGTGCCTAATTTGTGGCTCTTGTTGACTCCCTGGGTTTGTGGGGGGAAACAGCATGTGTTCAGGGCCCTCCTACTTCAACTGCTTACCCTGCTTGTCGCTCGCCGAAAAGCTTCTTGAACTAACTCAAGCATCCTTGTCATCCCCTCTATCATCTACTTCACCCTGGTCAGCACCCACCCTCATACTTCCATTTTTCCAGGCAAACAATCCTGGAGCCCCCCCAAAACCTCTGACTATCGAGGCGCTCCCTCCTTTTGGAGGATTTCTTGGTTGCTTCTGTGAACAACATCTTTAGGGAACATCTTGTCGGTTTCAGACAAAAAAAGACAAGAAAGAAACACCTGCAGGGCCAACAAGAAGGCAAAACAAGCACCCAAAACCCAAAAACCAAACACACAACCAACACTTACCTCTTAACAACACAACTTTTCAGCTTTTTGGATAACATGGGCTATATGTCTGTGAAAGATTAACTTCCCCAGGGCTTGGAGTTTTAAGGGGTAAGAACAGCAAAAACCACACAAACACGTGCTGGGCCGAATCCTCGGCCCACCGCCCGCCGCCCGGCAGGCGGCCTCCGCGCGGGCCGCGGCCGCGGCCTCGCGGCGCGGAAGGCGCTGCAGCTGTTCCAAGAGCTGCGCCGCGGCCTGCGGCTTCCGGCGGGTTTCCTCTTTTTTTTTGAAACACACGTTCTTTTTCCGCGTTCTTTTTGTTTTAGAAAACTTGTTTTAAAGAAAACACCATGTTTTTCTTTTGTTTTTTTGAAACATATGTTTTTCTTTTTTTCGCGGTTTTTTTGAAAGAAAACACACATGTTTTTCGCGGCTTTTTTTGAAGAACACCACATATGTCTTTTTCCTGTTTTTCGTGGCTTTTTATAAAGAGCAACATATGTTGTTGTTGTTTTTTTTTTCTCCGCTTTTTTTTTAAAGAAAAACATGTTTTTACTTTTGTTCGCGGTTTTTAATAAAGAAAACAACATATGTGTTTCTTTTCTTTTTTCCGCGGCTTGTTTTAAAGAACAAACACATGTTGTTCTGTTTTCGCGGCTTTTATGAAAGAAAACAACATATGTTTTGTTTTGTTCGCGGCTTTTGTTAAAGAAAACAACATATGTGTTTCTGTTCTTTTTTCGCGGCTCTTTTTCTTAAAGAAAACACCATATGTTTTTCTTTTTTGTCGCGGCTTTCGTTTTAAGAAACAAACATATGCTTTCTTTTATTTTTCTTTTTTTTCGGCTTTTTTAAAGAAACCACTTTATTTTTGTTCGCGGCTTTTTTTAAATAAGAAACCAACATATGTGTTTTTTCTTTTTCGCGGCTTTTTTCTTAAAGAAAACAAAATCTTTTTATTGTTATTATTTTTTTCCGCGGCTTTCTTTTTAAGAAACAAACATATGCTTTTTCTTTAAAAAAGCCATATGTTTTTCCTTTTTTTTCTCCACGTTTTTTTATTAAAGAAAACACATATGTTTTCTTTTTGTTCTCGGCTGTTTTTAAAGAAAACAACATATTTGTGTCTTTCTTTTTTTTCCGCTTTTCTTTTTTAAACACATATGTTTTTCTTTTTGTCGCGGCTTTTTTGAAAGAAAAAAAACACATGTTTTTCTTTTTTGTTCGCGGCTGTTTTTTTAATGAAACCAGCATGTGTTTTTGTTTTTTGTTGTTTTTTTTCCCCGCGCCTTTTTTTTAATAAGAAAAACACATGTTTTTCTTTTTTCGCGGCTTTTTGAAAGAACACCACATATGGTTTTCTTTTTTGTTCGCGGCTTTTGTTAGAGAAAACAACATATGTGTTTCTTTTCTTTTTTCGCTTCTTTTTTTCTTAAAGAACACACCATTGAATTCCGCGGCTTTTTGTTTAAGAAAAACAAAGCAACCAATAACATATGATTTCTTTTTCTTTTTTTTACCCGGCGGGTTTTCCCTGTTTGGCTGGGTTAGGGAAACCAAGAGGAATCCAGTCACCGACAGAGTGTCAAACTCGGTGGGCCCCAATCTGGCTTGTTTGTTTGGGTTGCGTTTTCCGTGTTTTGCTTTTCGCTGTTGTTGAGTTGGTATAGTTTTGTTGTTTCGGCTTTGCCTTGTTTGTTTGGCTGGTTGAAGTTGGGTTTGGGCAAGGTCTGGTTTGGGTTTGCTTTGTTTGGTTTGGTTTTCTTGGGTTCGGTTTGTTTTGTTTGCTTGCTTTGTTATTACTTTTTCGGTTTTTGGTATTGTTTTTTGGTTTTGCGTGGCTTCTACGAGGCGTGCCTCGCTGGGTTTCCTTCGGGGCCAGACCTGTGACTGAGCGGCGAAGCACTTGTTGAGCCGACATGTAATGTCACAGCTACGCGGGATCCATCTTATCCATGAAGGCTCCTTTCTTCCGCAGTCCCTATCTTATATATTTCCCTTGTTCGTTTCTTTGAAACGCCATTTTTTTGAGCTGACTTGAGGTGAGTTTCCTATAGCTGAGGGTGATTCTCAGGGGGGGGGGGGAATGCAAGGAACCCTGATCTTGAGCGTGCCACCGGTTTTCGGTGAAGTAGTGAAAACCAATCCCGAGCGAGAAAAAATCTAGAGCAGACCAGCTGTGGCGGGGTGGCAAACGTGATCCCTGCGAAAGAGTCAACTGAACAGATGCAAATCATAACAAATATAAATACTTGTGGACATGCGTCCGAAAGGCGCTTCAAACCAGAGGCCCTGGGTTCGTGCGCAACGCGCCCAGGTACGGCGAGTACATCAAAGAGATGGAGGAATCCCAGGCAGGGCTTGGCAGGGGGGGTCATTCAGAGGCGCCCAAGCTTGACCCACCAGGGATTGGATTGAAGGTTTTCAACTTAGGGTAGAACTTCGGTCAGGAGTGGGTTTCCCAGGTTGGCCCATCCGCCAATTGCGGGGCAGCTGAAACCGCTCAAGTCCTTGACCTAGCCGGCCCAAGGGCTTGGGGAATTTCGGAGCTTGGCTCCAACCGAGAATCACTCGGTGCCCCGAACATGTGGCAAGGCATTCCCTCAAACAACACGAGGACATAGGGGCCATAGCATTCTATGAAAGTTGTTTGGGGCAGCCGAGAATGCCCAAACTTGCCCAGTAGCGCATGAGTCAGCATGGCTATTGGCCCCCCTTTCTTCAGCAATCCCACACAAACCCACCAGTACTGGTCGACTTCTTTTGTCTTCTTGCTTCAAATGTCGGATTTCCTTTTTTGCAAGCCCTTGTTTTCCAGTTCTCTTAGAAACCGTCGATTGGTCCATCAGCGGTGTTTCCCTTTGGTTTTAAGAATCATTTTGGGCCCCTTTGGGCCCTACGGGGACCATACATGAGGGGGTGTTCCTTCTAGTTTCCCTTTCAACCAATCTTGGATCCCCGAGGAAACCACCGGAGAAGGTTAGGGTTCATTCCAACTCACCTGAGTCAGCCTTTAGTACCATCTCACATCTTTGCCCTATGCACCCAAAAAACAACACGAAATAATCCAGCAGAACCTCCCACCCCAAAGCTTGGAGAACCCCATAGCTTCCAGCTGGGGGACAACTTGCGATCGGGTCGAGCAGGGAATGAGACATGGAATGACCCCGAGATGGATTCCATCCATCCAATTTGCTTTCCTTCAATTAAGGGAATCCCGGAAACTCGGAAGGTCATTCCCACCCCATCGCACGAATGAGGGAATCCCTGCTATGAACCATCCAATCGATTTGGTTTCCTGAAGAGAATCCCCCAAACCGGTTCATTCTCCCAAACCCCCAAATCTCGGAAGGCCATTCCGGACCTATGCCACCATCCCCATGTGGCTTCCTTTAAGGGAACCCCCTAAAACCACCCGGAAGGGTTGTTCCCATACATGTCCTTTTTGGTAGAAACATAGATGTTTTTGGCTGATCTGGTGGTTTTTTCTCATCTACCAGGGATATCCTCCTATCTCCCCTAAACACTTCCCCAAAAACCCGCCCCCGCCGCCCGCCCGCCCGCCCGCCGCTCGCTCCTCGCGTCTCCCTCGCGTCTCCTCGCGTCTCGCTGGCTCGAAGGACGCGGCGGCGGCGCGGCGGGGCTGCGAGGCGCGGATGGGGCGGCGCTACGTGGAGCTGCACGCCACGGCGCTGGAGCTGCTGAGGACTCGAGGGGAGTGGAGTTGGGGTGGGGGAGTCGGGGGGGGTAGGGCAAGCGTAAGTTGTAACACCCCCCTAATACTGGGACGGGTAGAAAAAACATCCTGGGTCAACATTAGGGGGGTAGGGGCAGGGTGGGTGGGGGTAGGGGTGGGGGATAGGGGCGGGGGTGGGGTAAGGGGCAAACGCTCTTGTTTATTTTGGTGAACTTGGGACTTCCAAGACTTCGTGGGAACTTGTTTCAGAAACTAGGACTTTCAAGGATCTTTTTCTTTTTGTAAGACTTGAAGCAATCCTTGTTAGCGGTGTTTAAGAGACTTGCCTCGCCCTCCATGGCCGTAGCATGGCAGGACCGTGGCAGAACCGCAGAAGTGCGGCGGCTACAGCGCGTTGAGCTTCAGGCCGGTCAGCGGGCAACGGGCGGCAAGGCTTCCGGGGCTGCCTCTTACCTGAACTGGGTCCCCCAGTAGTGCCCTTTTACCAACTTTTTTGGTTGGGAGGGTTCCCCTACTAAAATAGACTACAGAAAAAAGGGGCACCCTTGTTCTAACCTCTCTACTGGAGGGCCTAGTTAAAGTGCCTTTGTTCAGGGGACCCCTCAAATGGTGGATGTCCTGTTGGTTTCCCTTAAAAGAAACACCAAACAAGGGGTACCTTCCAAAGACAGACCCATTTTTTTTTCTTCGGCCAATTCAGTTTTACTGCTCCGCGCGCCGGCTTCGCATGTCCGCCAAGCGGGACGCGATGGATGGCGGATGGATGAACGGATGCATGGAGGGATGGATGGCAATGGCCAAACCCACTCAAGGGGTGACACATGGTTGCAGACTTGCCCCCTCCCCCTGGCTCAAACAAATGTTCCAAAAACGGCACCTTGGTAAATGGAGCCAAAGACCAAACCCTGCGGTTTGCCCCGAGCTCTTGAATTTGGAGCCACGCCCAAAATAAATCAACAAGACCTTTTGCCCCTTCCCTCCCCCCTCCACCCTCCTCCCAAACCCCCCCCCCCCTCCCCCTCCTCACACGGGGCCCATGGCTGGCCCCGGCTCTCCCGTCGGCTTCCAGGGGCGCCGCGGTGGCCGACCGGCGCCGGAACCTGCAGGCGCGGCTGGCGCTGGCCCGGCAGCAGGCGGGGCGTCTGGGCGTCCGGTCCCGGTGGAGGTTCCTGGAGGTACGTGAAAAGCACGGCGGTGGTGGACAAACATCATTTCTCACTTTTTGAGTTCATGAACCTGAATGCTTTTCGGGAAGACCACTTGAGTGGTAAATGTAAAAAGTTTGGACTTGTTTTGGGCCATCCACTCGGCAAGTGAGCCATAGGCCAAGTACCGAAAATGGAACTTGCCCTGGTAATTAAATGGAGACATGGACGACAACTGCAGTTTTCGGTTTTTCTGGTGATTTGATTTTGGCCCATACCGATTCAAGCGGCACCATGGATGCACCGTGTTTTTGTTCCTTCACTTCATTGGATGGGTGCGGTTGATCCAAGGAGAAACATTTGGCTGGTTGTCAAAGATACGGGAACCCCTAAACCCCCAAAGCGCGAAATTTGCTTGAGCAACCAGACCCTGGCCCCCACACAAAACCAATCGAATCGGAGGTTGTCCCCCCCCCCCTCACCCCCTGTTTTCCGGTGGGACCATCACCTTGTGCTTCCTCATGGTTCTTCTTTGGTTGCTTTATACATCGTTTTTTAAGCGCCAAGGTGTGAAGAGTCTTCTTGCTTTGGTGTGACGTGGGTGGACATTTACCAGGAACCCCATTTGGGTGTGACTTGAATAGGAATCGTAACCCCGTCGGTGTTCCTTTCTGGTTTCCCTTTAAAACCGCTCAATCACGTGCCTTTTCTTCTTTTGGGTGTCCCTTACAAAACTCGAAAATCATGGGTACCAACTCAGATGAACTCGGGCACTTAAAGTCCCCAAAGAGGGCTGTCAAAATTTGGGGTGCCACTTTTTTCAGGGTATGCTGTCTAAAAAAACGAGGTACTGTGGATGCACGAAATCCTGCCCCACGTTTGTAGGAAAACGTGGTTTTCCACTGTAACTACTGTGGATGGACAAAATTCTGCACCACCTTGAAACCATGGGAAATCATTGTCTGTTGGTATTTACAGAGGAATCATCATTCCAGGGTTTCTTAGATACCCCCTTTAAACAAGCGGATTTCTGGAGTAGGGGGGAAGACAGACCCATTTCTCTGGGGGATGATTCAATCATTTTTGTTGAATAAAGGTTGTTTTCAACAGCTGGCTGGTTTTTTTTGTCTAGTTTTTGGAGTTTTTTTTTTTTTTTTTTTTTTTTTTTTAAGGAGGGTCGTTTTCCCTGCATTTCTGGAAGGATCCCTGGAAAGAAGGGACATGCAAGCTTCCTTCAAGTAGCCTTTTACATACGGCTAGTGCTGGATGCTTTTTGGACGGACCTTTAGGCAACATCTAGGGGTTGATTCCCCATTCTTTTCAACCATCGTTTGTTTCAAACAACCGCTGTTTTCCCAGGGTTTTGGGTGGTTTTTGGAAAGAAGGATGCCTGGAAAGAATGGACATGGAAGGTGCCTCTAGAAACATGGAAGCTGCGTCTGAACCTTCCAGTGGACCATAGTTCTTTTCAACAACTGGCTGCTTTCCCTGGCTGTTTTCCTTCGGTTTCTGGAAGGATCCCTGGAAAGAATGGACATGGAACTTGGTTGTTCCCAGCCATCCGGCTCCTTAGCTTCTTAGCCTTTTTGCGTTTTGTGGGGTTTTCCATTAAACCCGCCAGACGTCAAAGTGTTAGCCGGGGATGTGAAAACGGACAGCCCAGGGAAGGGGCCCTCCAAAAGCGACAGAAGAAAAACGGGAAGCCACCAGTCTGCAAGTCTAAACCCTAAACCACGGTGCTGGATGCTTTTTGGACGGACCTTTCGGCAACATGGGCTCGAGCGCCGTCTCGACTTTCCAGCGACCCTTTCTGGGAGACCTCCGTCTCCTCCCTCTCAAGGCGTCCGGCCAGCAGCGGGAGGCTCTGTGCGCCGTGCTGGCGGCGCTCTGAGCCTCGCGCCGCACTGCTTTTGGGGGGCTCGCAGAGTGGGGCCGGCACGTCGCTTTTGGGGATCACCCCTCTAAGAGCACGTCTTTGTGGGGCTCGTCTTTTTTGGGGCACGCTGGTTTTGGAGGATCACCACCCGAAAAAAAACGTTAACGCCTGCATGTTTTTTTTTGGGGGGGGGTTCGCAGGTGTTTGGGGGGCTTTCCTGTTGGTTTCCCCTTAAAACCACCCAAATCCCCCCCCCGCCAGAACAAAAGAAGGACAGAAAAGGATGAGTCTCTTTTGAGCTGGACACCCAAAGGAAAACAAAACTCTATTTTGGGGGGAAACACCAATTTTTGCGACCTTCCTTTCGGGTATTATTGTTTAGGCCACGGAAGGGGGGGGATGCGCCGAGGCCTTAAATAAGGCAGATGTATGGATAGTGGTTCCAAGGTCTGGACCATGTCGGGCTATTTGGCATTGGACCATTTGGGGTTGATCCCCAGCATTCTTTTCACTCAATGCGTCAGAAACCACACAAATCCCCCCGATTCGAGATCTGAAAAGAAGATGGCAGAACTAGACATGCATTCCGAGTGTAGCAGCAATACGGTACCGTACCTGCCTTTGTTTTGACCATCGGGCCAATTTATCGGCGTCCTTTTGGTGGGGTGACGTCGTGTGTCTGAAAGTGGGAAATGGACCCCTGCAAAACGGTGGGTGTTGCCCTTGTGCGCCTCCATAATGCACGCCTGAGCTATGCCCAAAAAATGTAGTTGGCCCACCATTATGACAGCTTGAAAGGGTGAGGTGCTCCGCTTGGGAGAAAGTGCGGTTTGAAAGCTATATGGCCACCGCGAAAAGAGCCGGACATGAGGATTGTAAGCACGAGCTAAGCATCAGGAAGAAGTCCTGGTGTGTATCCGTTTCTATGGTTCCCATGTCTGGTAAACCGACAGTCATGTAAAAAAAAACGCGGTGGTGATGATTTTCCAGCGAAACATTTAGCTCGGAGAATCAGCAACAGTCGCTTTGTCGTTGGGTCGGTCGAAAGGGAAGCAGTAGATTTGATCCTGACGGAGTGCAGTTCCTATGGGCCTGGCTTTTTGGCTCTTGATGGGAAACTGAAAGGACAATCATCTTTTTAAGGAGGCCAAGCTTAAAAGAGATGCAGCCCTGACGGCTCAGTTCTTGGGGGCTTAGACTGAGTATTCTTGGCTATGTAACAATCCAAACACCCGCCAGTTTGGCAATATTGACCCCGGATGGATGATTCTCCGGGTGGAGTGTTTCCTGGAACAGTGGATCCCCAACAAGGGGACAGCCCACGTTTGCTTTAAGATCAAACGGTTTAGAATCCCGGGTTGAGGTGGTCAAACGGCTTGAAGCATCGCCTTCACAAGTACATTGCCTCGTAACGAGGCTGCCGCTTGCAAAAGAACTGGCTGTCCGCTTATGATGATGAGGCGGGATTGGGGAAGCCTCTCAGAAAGCAGGGGTTGGTTTATGTTGATTCTCGTTTGCAAGCCAAAAAAGGCACACTTCAAACAAGACACTTCCGCATGGAGTCATCAGGTTGCCCGGCCGTTGGGGCGAGACCAAAGGCCCTACGACGTATTGTAGCCATCTGTTGCGTCATTCAGACATGTACTTGACTCCGTGCTTCAATGCCTTGCTGGACGCCGCAGCTCACTGAGTGATGAGCTGGGAAGCGCAACGCCGGTGGACCGTTTCTATTTTTCTGAGACTCTTTGAACAGCCTTCAGAATTTCTACTGAGGACCGAGGATTGGCTGTAAACCCTATGAAAGCTATCAGAAGTAGCTTCGATCAAGACGACTGAGCCATGATGAAACTCCATTTGCCTCGGTGTAGCAGGGTATGAGAGCGGCTGTATTTGAAGCATGTTTGATTGAACATCGCTGGATCCCTGGTGCACAGATTTTAAGGTAGGTGACCCACTTGCAAGTGGGGACATGCGAAACTTGCAACTTGGGCCAGGCCGATTTGTTGCCCGTTTGAAGCAAACACATGTTCCCAAGTTCAGTTGAAGCACCCAGGTACTCTGGGTCCAAGCATGGCTGGACCTTGACTTGCGGCAAAGGTTTTGTTTGTCATTGCTTCGCCTATGGACGTTGGATGCTAACCACAATCTTTGAACCAGGTGGACACACGGGGCCTTGACCCAATCAATCGCTTGGGACCCTTTTCGGGTCCCTTTTCAACGCCCCAAGTGGTGAGTTGTTTCAGAGCTGCCTCAGGACCTGTCCATGGTTGTGGGGGTTCGGCTTGCGCAGGCTGAAAGGGGACCAAAGCTGTTCTTCCACCCCCAGAGACTGGACCCAAGTCCATTTGTTGACTCTCCTTCTCTCTCTCCACCTTGCCTTTTTTTTGAGTCAAAGAAAAGAAGGAAAAACAAGTCGACGATGGGAGGGGGGGGGAATTCGCAACACCCTCCGGAACGTTTCGACGATGGGTTGGGTCGCAACACCCTCCGGAGGGTTTTCCCCACCCCCTCCCCCCGGCAGAAGCCTAGGTGTCCTTTTTGGTTGATTTGGTTGAGACATAGAGGGCGATTCCTGGTTTAAGTGGTGGTTAAATCAACGACCAGGGATATCCATCCATTGTTTCCCAAAAAGGACACCTATGGCCAGCAGCGTTCCGTGGCAGCGTTGTTCGCTCGATCGAGGTGCCGGTGCGGGGCTACTTCGCCCACGGCCTGGTGGATCCCAACTGCCGCTTTCGGGTGGCGGTGAAGTCTCCCTCCCGCCCCTTCGGCGCCGAAAGGGGTGGCTTCAAACATGGGGCGCTGGGAGCCCGGAAGAAAAACACACCGAGGTTTGTCTCCTTTCGGCTCCCCCCGCCTTTTTTGGGATTTATTTTGGAATTTGCATTGTTTTTGCAATGTCAGCTTGTGCCGTTTTGAGATGCATGAAAGGAGCTTTCCTTGGGTGGGGTCACGTTCAAAGAGGATATATGTCAGGGACGAAGATCCTGAAGTGGCAGGGTCCTGATTTCTGATTTGAGCTCAATCCAGAACGTCAATACTTTGACTAAAACGATGAACAAAGAGAATCTGTAAGTCCCAGAACCAAGTTTGCACGTGCTCCTGCGAGGTGCCGCGCTAAAACGGGGTCGGGGAGCACCACGCGTTGCGAATCGCACGTGCACTTCTGGGGGACCTCACTCTGAAAGCTGCTCCGAGCTTACGACCAAGCCGAAAAAGGTTGGAAACCTTGGGTGGCTTGCGACTGAGTCGAAGGAATGAGAACCAATAGTCTCGCAGAATTTGGGCTGAGAGCCCTGGGCAGCGATGCACATCCTGTACCCTGAAGCAGGGTTGCCCTGTTCAGCATACCTCGTTCGACTGGTGCCCTTTTTGGGGCCACGTTTGAAGAAAAGTTGCAAAGATTACCATGTTTGACACATGTGCACCTGGTTTGATCTGAACACCTGATGCCGGATTCCTCGCGGAGGCATGCAACCCAAACTTGTGCGCCAAACAACGGCAAAAGGGCCTGTGGTGGGCACCCCTCCCGTACGAAGCCCGACCAAAGCAGGTCGCTGTTGGTTGGTTGTAGAGAAAAACCAAAAGGAAAGACGCGATTTTGAGGCTCGCCATCGTGTTGTGGAAGGCAATGGCTCTGTTCCCAAAGGCGGACACCCTTTTGGAGGGTGTTTTGGGCAGGGAAGCCGACCGCAGCGTGGTTTTCTTTTGGTTCTCCGTTAAACTGTTGAATCACCCCGAAAGGGTCTACCCTCACAGAAGACAATCCCATATCCACCATGGGAGCGAACTATCCCGACCATTTGTGTTTTCCCTGAAGGAGGCCACCAGGGTCAGCGCAGTGTTTGACTTTTCTAGGCGCCTATCTACATCTGCGCAAGCCGTCGTTCATGTTTGTAGTTTTGTCTTGCTTTGTGTTCTTCGAAACATAGTTGTTCTACCTTATGCACGGTGCCTTCTAGTGTGCAAGCCCATGCGGATCCGGCCAGACTCACAACGTGCAGTCACTGGCTGTGTTTTTTCTCCCCCGACCCCCTTTTGTCCGCCCTTAGAGACTCTGGGGTTCCTTTCTTGCGACCCCCTTTTGCAGGTGAAGTTTTTTTTTGCGACCTTTTGCCTGGTGAAGCCCAAGAGCTCCCTCAGCTGAAGTCCTTCCCCCTCCCCTCCCTCCCCCCAAACCCCCCCCCCCCGCCCGCGCTCCTCCGCCTCCGCCCGCGGCGCGCGCTCGGCGCTCGGCGCTCGGCGCCTTCGCTCGAGGCCTGGCGTCGCTGCTGGTGACCTCGGAGCTGCCACTGGCCCGGGCCTTGGCGGCCATGGACCACGGGGGGCCCTTCCCCGAGGCGCGAAAGCGGACGCGGACGCGAAAGCGGACGAGCGAAGCGGGAGGTCCGGCTTTTGGTGTTGTTCTTTTTTTCTTCCTCTTCTTTTTTGGGCGAAGAAAAAACATGTGATATGCAATATGTAACATATCCAGTTGTTTTTGTTTTGTTTTTTTAATTGGATTTCATGGTTTCACTACCCGGCAGGTCTTTTCCCGAGTGTTTTTGGTGGAACCCCTTCACCTAGCCGTGGAAAAGGGACCCGAGTTCTTTGTCAGTACCAATTGTTCGGAAAGGACACCTAGACATACCTATTCTTGGTTTACACATTTTACATTTTTGCTTATTGTGGTTTAGTGGGAACCCCCCACTTAACTGCTAAGATGTAATTGTTTTGCTCCCCTTCCAACGTCAACCAAGAATTAGTGTCATTTGAGCAGTAAACATTGGTTCTTTACCTGGCTTTGTCTACAGAAGCCTTTGCAACCATGCTAGTAGAACATAGTAGAAACCAAGTCAATGGGGCTTGGCAGATGCTCATCTTGAGCAATCCAGGTTGCAACCAAATCGACCATGGCGATTTGCCATGTGAGGGTCTCATACTTTGCTGACGATGGGACATTTGGTGCTCAGACCACGCACACCAACTCTAGGTGTCAACCACAGAAACGCTAAAAATCGAAGGGGCCTCACCCTACGCATTTTGGGCGTGCGCTATCCGCAAGCTGTTGGAAAGGACTTCCGTTGTTTCAAGGCCTGCATTTTGAGAGGGGCTGAGGATAGCCAACCTGCAAAAAAGGCTTTTTGGCCTGTTGTGGTTTCTTTGCTTGGGGGGAGGGGGTTGTGGTTTCTGTGGAGTTTTATGGAGAAGGTCACCAGTGGCGGAGGTTTATTTGCGGTAGTGGCCACGCAACACGTGCTGGAAGTGAAAAGACATCCCTTCCAGCCAGGGAAACGATTCCCCAAGGAGACTTCGAAATGAACAAAGGAGCTGGCAACCCCCCCTAAGGTGCTGAAGAAAAGGCAAAAAGGGAACTCAATGCCCGGCTAGTGGTTGGAAGGGAGCCGTCACGGAGCTGGTATCCCAAAAAATTGCCGCAAAAGAGGGAGCTAAGAAGCCACCAGGAGTTCTGGTTTGGGACACAGATGCTCCCCCCCGAAGACGTCTTCAACTGGAGAAAGAGGCTAAGGAGCTACCAGGAGTTCTCTCGCCCCCCTCCCCCTTTCCCCCTCCTCCCTAGATAGCCAAGTTGCTGCTTTTTCAGTCACTGTTGCTGTTTTTTGGGGGTAAAGTGCATGTAACAAAAGCAGCAACTGAATGTCAATCATTTCAATAGGGAACCACCTCAAAAGTGACTGGTGGACATGAATCCCAACCTAAATGAATCTCCTCGTTTTTTTCCCCTTGGGGGTCGAGAAAAACGACGTCGTCCGCAGGGCCACGAGAAGGAGCCTGTCGGCCGGCGCCAGTACGGCCTGCCGGGCCCTCGTTTTCCGATGAAACCCTTGGTTTCCTTTGCTTTTTGGTGGTTTTTAGGGGTTGAGTTTCCAAATTTAACCCAGAAGTTAAAACTTTTAGCAGGGGATTTTGAGGACAGCCTGGTGCGGTTTTAGTGGTAAGAAAGGGATTGAAGAATCCTCGCCGAGGACCGTCGGGCAAGCAAGGGGCCCTTTTCTGATGGGCAAAGGAGATGTTTGCGGCCTGATCCTGTATGATCATGTTTTGGTTTGAGGGACAATCAGCAGGCAAGCCACCAGTTTGGAAGTCCCCCCTATTGGCACATACCCATGGCGAACTCTCAGTGCTTCGGGAATCGAGATTGCACCTGGTCTTGAAAGGAACGCACAGATTGGGTCACTGAGTTCTGGGAAAAGAAGCTGGCGCAAGCTTTTGACTGATTGCTCTTGTGTGTGTGTCGATCTTTAATGCTCTGAACAGCTTGAGCTCGTTCCCTTGAGGTTTGGCCAAGAAAGTGATGAACCTCGGTTGTGACTTTCCCACTTTTACGCCCTTGGAGTTCTTGTTTCGTCTTTGGCAAGACTTTTGGAGAATGCCCCACGAACTTGCAACAAGTCGGTTTGTCTCCGAGTAGGTGGAACCCTCAAGAGAGTTACTCTCTCTCTGCAGGTCCAAGATCAATCCAGAGCCGAGTTTACACATGGATCCCATACCGGACACTGCCAGTGAGTTGCAACTTGTCAGGGGGACATCCAGTGAGATCGGCTTCACCGACCCCCACCTGGCGCCCCGAGCCTTCCAGAGCCTTTCACTTAAAAGCAGCCCACGGCCACTGAGTTTCCAAGTGCTTGGAGTTAGACCTTTTGGAGACCCGCAGCCTCTCGTTTGGCTGTCGTACCTTGGAATTGGTCTGGCTTCCCTCTTTGGGCTGCGGCAACCCACCGTGGCCGTGAAAATCTCAATCGCGAACCTCCGAAGTTGGACGGGATCCGCACCGAAATGATGTCAGGGAAACCGAAACAGCTCCTAGAATGGCTCGTTTCCGTTTGGGTTTCCCTTTAAAGCCACTCCAAAAGGGCGTAAACCCCCCAAGAAACTCGTAAACCCTAAAAAAGAAGCCTTAAAACCCCTTTAAACCCCTTCAAACCCCTTAAACTCCTTCAACCCCCTTCAAACGCCTTGAAAGCCCTTTTAACCCTCAAACACCCCAAACCATCCCAGAGACTCAGCTGTGAGGCAGCGGGTGTGCGTTGAGACGGGCTATGGCGAAGAGCAGAAGGAGCGGCTCTGCGACGTGCAGCCGGAGGCGCGGGGGGGGAGGGGGGGGGAGGGCGCGATCTCCGCGCGACGGAAAGACCGGAGATCCGGGGCTGGTTTGGGTTGGGGGTGGGTTGTTGCTGCGTTGTTCTGAATTATTGCGATGCTTGTTCTTTTTGCTATTGGATTGCCATTGCCTCCAGATGTGATTTGCATCTTGGGGTGGTTTGGGTTTGCCCTCCCTCAGGCTGACATGGAAGCTGCCAGAAGGCCTCTGTAAATGGAACCAAGTCTTCCAAAGAAATCCTGGGAGCTTCCCTGTTAGTCTGGGGGTGGTCGCTTAGGGGCACCCGAATGGGGACCCCAGAAATTCAGAACCCCCCTGCTTGACGAATCAGCAAGGGGGGTTGTAATGGAGACCCCAGATGAACTTAAAAAGCCTTGTAAAAATCGTAATGGACTTAAGGAGTGTCCATACTAAGTCCTCCAGTAGTGCCCTTTTACTTCTTTTTTTTTTTTTGGGGGGGGGTCCCCCACTAAAATAGACAAAAAAGAAAAAAGTTGCTACTCTCAAATCTAATTTTCCGGCGGTGTGCACCACTCATGTGCACGCTCTACGGAGGCGGAGCTGCGGGCGCTGATGGAGTCCCAGGCGCCGGTGGAGGTGCTGGAGGTGTACTGCGCGCTGGCGCCCAAGGCGACGGATGGGGGGAGGGGTGGGGGGATGGGGTGGGTGGGGATGGGGTGGGGGGTGGGAGGTGGTGTCCTCGGTCCCGGAGAGCACATCCTCTGCGTCAGCAATCGCACCGCACCGCCGGCCCTAGCCGCAAGAGGAAAATCTCACTCAGGAATGTCGCACGTGGCTTGCAAGGGCCGCCTGACGAAAGCTTCAGCTCGGCCGGCCGCCATCGGGCCCTTTCCCTACAAAGCCCTTCCCACGCCTCCACCAGCTCTCACTCCACCGCCCCCCTCCTGCTCAAGCGCCCAAGCCACCTCCACCACCGAGCCCTAAGCCCATCATCCATCGGCTTTTCCGTTCCGGCCAATGTGAGTATCGCGGACCTTATGGCCCTTGAGAACCTGTGGATCAGATCTCTCAGTCAGTGTCATTGAATTATGACCTTTTAGATCTCATTGGATCACCCATCATATCAAGTGACCCACCCCCGACACACTGACTCGATTCATTTATCAGCATGGCACGACAAGCCATGCGCACTTCCTTGACCTGTGTGTCACTGTGCTTCAGCATTTCTCAATTTGGCTCGACTCGGACAGAGATCGTATTCACATCTTAGATTCTCTTTGGCTCGCTTTGGCACTCCAGTCCCTGTTTTGGACAGGCTGTCACATTTGAAGAGCGCAGCCACACCACTATCAACCACGAACCATGACATCCTCAGCTGGATCTGATGGATTTATCCCGACACCTCACAGACAGAGAAACACCTTCACGAGCCCTTCGGCCTCTACGCTCTCTTCAGATCGCGCCAGACCATTCAAGGTCCCAAAGAGCGTGTACCAAGAGCTCTTCGAAGGAGCGAACGTATGGTTCACTTCTATATGGAACGGCCACTTTCCTGGCCTTAGTCCCTGCCTTAGTGCGGGACGATCTGTGGGGAGACCCGATTCGGACTTGTGTGGAACATCTCCAAAAGTGGGGATGGGTGGGGGTGAGGCGGGGTGGGTTGGGTGGGGTTTGGGGGTTCCCCATCCTCCCCCCCCACCCCAGCCCACCCCACCCCAGGGAGGCATCGAAGCCGCACCACACGTGAGGTCCCTTGAACTTTTGTGCCACAGAGGCGGACAAGAGGATGAACTTGCAAACGTCTCACGCTTGCGGGAAGTGGCCAGCTACTGGCCTTTTCAAGAGGGCCCTGTTATCTTCCAACCTCCTTGTCTCAGCCTTTTCTTCTTTTCAAATCACATGGAACGGGGTTCATCTCCCGAAAAGGGGGATCCCTCTTGTGGCCCCTCCTAGGTCCCAGTAGTGCCCTTGTACCCATTTTTTGGGGGTACCAAAATCAACAAAACAGAGAAACAGCACCCTTATTCGGAGGACCTAGGGTTCCCCTACTGAAACAGACTACAGCAAAAAGGGTGCCCTAAAATTTAGCCTCTCTACACCTAGCCTCAAAGCGGAAGGAGCGGGTGGCGCGGCACCGCCTGGGCCCGGTGATCCGGGCCGAGCTGCGGCGGCTGCTGGCGGAGGCCAAGGAGAGAGGCGCGGAACGTGGACGGGAGTGGTACGTGTTTTTTGCTTAAGAATGCAGAGTTGCAGGGTTCCGCTTTTTGCCTACCGCAAGGTAGACCTAAACCCCGTTTCCCTTTTGGGGAAATCAACAACCCCTGGGTTTAAGTCGAAAAAGCGGAATGTCCCCCTTAGAACCTGGTGGTTCCCAGCCATCCGGTTCCTTAGCTTTTTGGATCTTTTTAGTTGTTTAGTGGGGCCATTTCACCCACTTTTTGCCGGGGATCTGAGGACAGCCCAGAAAAAGGGGACCTCCAAAAGCGACCGAAGAAAAAAGGGACACCACCAGTCAACTGCCACTCTAAGGCTGAACCATTGGCTGAAAATGTTGGTTGTTTTTTCCCCCTGCTGGTTTTGAAGGGAATTTATCACCACTGCACATATTCATTTTGTCCCAGGGGACTTGAGCAAACGGAGGGGTAGCAGAACTGTGGTAAATAAAAGACACACGGTTACGGGGAGATGCAGTAACCCATGGTGGTTCCTGTTGTTGGCAAAGGTTGGTAAGCTTTGGACGCAGAAAGGGGGAATGATAGAAGGCGTACAATAGACGTATTTGGCAAAGAGTTTGGATGTTTCTTGGGAATCCACGCAAGATGTGAGCCACAATCAACACCCGGGTAGATGAAGGTTAGTAAGGGACAATGCCAGCCAGAAACAGCTGCGGCCGCCTTTGTATCTCCTTACATGGTTCTAGGTCGACCATTTTAGTACCGGGTTTGGATTGTGACTCACGTGAGCTGTGGTGGTTACCTCACTCTTCACCCTCTAACCACCAACGGCACATCTGAGCCCCTTCCCTCTCAAAAAAATACCCCCTCAAACATGCGGGTTCCCTCAAAAAGACGCGCCCACGTCGACGCCGGTCTATGTTTTGTTCGAGCTGATCCCATGGCATGCAACAAGGCGACTGGGATCCGCTCGAAGAAACGACACCCGGGTTGGCCTGTAAAAGCCTAAGCCTGATCAAGTATTCCAGAGGTTGATCCATTGTTTTTTAGAAACCAGCTGTTTCCCTAGGTTTTGATGGTTTCCTGAAAAGAAGGATCCCGGGAAAGAATGGGGAGGGTAGCCCTAGAAGTATGCTCCTAGCCACATTGCCATAGACATAGCAGAGAAATGGCCCCATTCAACTACTTTCCGCAAGCCCAGAAGCCTTCAAACGTTTTTCTGCAACCAAGCACAGAAGCGGGCAGGGTGGTGTTGGGGTTGGTTCAGGGTCGGCTCAGAGTTCGTTCAGGGTTGTTTGGGAAACTGAAAACCACACCCTCACCTCCAAACCCAACTACCACTCACGAGGGAAGCTGACAAAAGCCTTTCATTCTCGGGGTACCTTCCCCATTCTTTCCAGGGATCCTTCTTTCTAGAAAACCTCCAGAAACCCAGGGAACACGGCCGGCTTTCCGGCTTTTGGAAGGAAGGATTGAACAGAATGGACAAGGAATCAACCAAACATAACCAACCCCAACCACGAGGGAAGCTGACAAGAGCCTTTCAGAGGCCGAGCCGTGCTCTTCCTGGTGGGCGGAGACCATCCCATCGACCTAGTGCAGAAGGTGTGGCCTGAAGCGCAAGAAATCGGCGCTTCCCTTGGGCGGTGGGAAATCATCGCTGGCCGTTTCATGGTGGTTGGGAAACATGTTTCTTTTTTTTGCTTATTGTGGTTTAGTGGGAAACCCCACTGAACTGCTAAAAATTAGATTTATGCTCCCCTTCCAACGTCAACCAAGGTTTATGCTTTTCCTTTTGGTTTGATGTTGAGAGTGGATTTCTTAAGGCACATGGAAGGAGCCAAGGAAAGAGAGACCCTCCTTGCATTTTTGTTGGGTCTCCGTTTGTTTTTGGGGGGAAAAGCACTTACCGCTTGGTGTGTCAACATTAATTCACCCTCGAAATGGACGGATTATTCATGTTTGTTAGAACCGTCCCAGGGATCCAGCAAGTTTGACATCTTCGCTCGGCATTTTTCGTCTGTGTGTGTGTGTGTGCGTGAGTCACCAATAAAAGGGGATGAACCATGCCGTTTGAGCTGCAACCATGGTGACGAACCTTTGAGGAGGCTGCTGCGTGTGTTGGAGTGGGTACGGTGATACCTGGGAATAGCTCAGTGTTTGTTTCACAACAATTGCTTTACTCTCGGTTTTGACTGCGTTCGCAGGTAGAGCGTCCCAATGTTCAGCACTGCCGCGCTTTTTTTCGGGGGATCAACCTCGGGATGGAACAAGCAATGTGAGCTGTTTGACGTGAGCAATTGGATGAATACATTCAAAGTTAGCACTGCAGTGGTCTACCTAGTTTGTTTTGAAGCACCAGTACTTGAGCTCTAAGTTCCAACTTAGCAAGTTGGAACTTTTGTGTTGCAACCATAGGCACAGAAACAACATTTGTCATGCTTACGACTTGCAACTGATGACCTAATGTGTGGAGGGGGGGGGTCCCATGTCAGAGAGAATCCGGAGCACTTTGGAGGGCAACCCGCATTTAATCCATCAGGCCGATCTGGGGTCGACACACACAGACACACACACACACACACTTAGTGAGTGGCTCCATTTTTTTGTTCAGCAAGTTTGCCAACCTTCCCAGGGTTTTCGTGTAAACTTTTCACAGTTGTATATTTGGGCTGTTCAAAGGCAATCCGTTTCTTAGGGGTTTGGTCCACTTTGTAGTGGTTTCTTTGTAGGGATCAAGGAAAATCGGATTGGCCCAGCCCATTTAGAACAGCCCAGCTTGGGTTAAGAATCCAAGTGGCCTAGGTATTTGCAGCCCTGGTTCACCTCCATCGGCGGCTTGAGGTGTGGGTGGCCGGGCAGCAAGCAGCAAGCGGCAAGCCGAAATGATTGTTCCTTCCCTTCAAAGCCCTAAATGCTACCCTGTTGCATTGCCCCCCACCTCACTCTTTTGGATGAAACTGGGGGTTCCTCAAAAAAGAACATGCTTTGGTTCGAAGTGGGTGCTCGAAGTGGCGTCACCGCTATGAAGAACCTCCCAGAGGTTCTCACCGGAGGCATCTGTCGGGGCCAGAATGGCGTTGTTTTGGCCTGCTTGCAGGCCAGGGGAAACTCTGGGAAAGGGAGATGGGGGTGAATATTTGAATTCCAATAGACCTGGTTTCCTTCCCATGGCAACTCATTTCGTGGTGCCAGGGTATGAATTTTGAAAGGGGACCAAAATGATCTTGCTCGGGGTTGTGGGATCAAGGGGGTTCTGTGACACAAGGGAATCACCTCTTTATCCGGGTTAGTCTGTGGGAGGCCCTTTTTGTTGTATCACAGTGGCTTTAATGGGCATCAGACTCGTTGGGATTCATGTCCACCACTTTGGAGTCTTGCCATCTTGCTCAGGATGGCTACCCTCCAAGTAACATGGAACCTGACAGAGGATCCCAAGAGGAAATTTGTCTTTTACAAGACCCCTGTCAGGTTCCACGTTAATTGGGAGGGTATGGCAAGGGCAAGCAATTCTGCTCTGGGCCCCGCGAGATATGCATCGAGGTCACCTGGGTACGGGATGGTCATCACCCTTGTAGCAGGGGCTTCAGACAAACCAGGGACCATGACCAGTCCCTGCAACTGGTGCTGCGTTTTGATTTGACCACCCGCAGCCGCCTCCTGTTTGTTTAGAGGATCATTTCCGACATGTGCTCAGAGCTAGCCCTTGGTCACCCACGATGCCGCTCAAATTGACTGTGGAAGGACAACATCCTGCACTAGTTGGTAGATGGTTTATCCAATTTGTCGATTGGGTTGCCTCCATCTCGACTGCTGCCACAGTTTGATGGCGAACTCACCTGGCGGTAATCGAGCTCAGCATGACGTAGGTCCTTCATTTGGGGTTCCAACTCTTGTTTCAGGTATTGAAAAGGTGATCCAACTTAGGCTCGCCCAATGACCCCTAAATGCACCCGTTTTGCGGGTGGTTTAAAGTGAAGCGGCGGGCGGGGGGGATACCCTCAGGAAAGACGAGCCACCCTTTCAGGACTCACCAAATAATATGCGCACATGTGTGTCGTAATGTTGACCCCTTATCAATCAACCCCAGTTGATTAATAGGGGGGGTGTTCCCTTCCAAGAGTGGTCTGATTTCCCACCGAAAACCCAGTTGGCCGCCCCCACCGCCCCCATTCATATGGGGTCAACCGTACGCGTCGGGTATCGTGTTTCTTCGGTTGACTCCCACCCCCCCCAACCAAGCCCAGGATGTGAATATCAACCGGGGGTTGGATCGATCAGAAAATGGGGTCGGGTGCTCGACTCGGCTCCAGGTACTTCCGCTGGAAGCAGTCCACGGAGGCCGACTGGGAGCCGCCCAAGCTCATGGGCCAGAAGCGAGCCCCTTGGCCCTGGTGTTGGAAAAAGGGCGGCGACGTGGCGCGAGCCATACTGACAAAGCCGACCCCCTTTGATCAACAAGGCGATAAACCGCCCTTTTCGACCAGCGTCAGTTTCAGGCGTGACATGTTGTGTTTTTTATCGAACAAAGCAGCGACACAAAAATGAACAAGCACAAAAGTACGCTTACTGGCGACACGACGTTTGGGTTGTGGGTGGCTCGTCTCTTGGTTTTGGTTTGGAACCCCTGCCTTTTCTGGTGGTTTTCAAGAGAAATTAAAGGAAAACCAAAACCTTTTTGGAGGAGTACCCTAACAATGACATCCCCGAATGGAATGTCCCAAAATGGATTGACCTGGTAAATGGAAAAGTATACAACCACTTGCGTTTCATCTCTTGAATTTTGAGCCACACCCACGACCCGACAAAGGCAGCCTCCCAAACGGGAGCAAATCAATGGACACGAGGTTCAGCCAGGTGGCCTATTGTGAATTCGGGAGGCAAATGGGGGGGCTCTAAAATTTAGAAGAATTAGGGGACTGACTAGAATTATCATCTTTTTGTTTTTTTGAAACAAGTGGTTCTGACAGTGCCTCAAATGAACAGAAGGATTCCTTCCTCCATGCCAACTTCAGCGTTGACTTTCTGGAGAGTAAATCTAAGTCTATTGGTGTGGCTTAAGCAGACTCGTCAAACCACAAGTCGTGACTATTTTTTGCAGGGATGGCTGGTTCCACGAAAGCATGGCCAGCATGCGAAGCCTCAAAGCACTGCTTGGAAGTTGCACTGTCAAAAATCCATCGACGCGAAGCTCCTGGAACGAACGGTGCACAGATGGCATGATTGGCAGTCATTACTCAAATTGCTTGGTATTTATATGGCCAGCAAGATGATATCCATTGTTGGTGGCAGGGAGGTTCAGCTACCCTACGCCGCTTGCTGCCATCTTTCCAAATGGGTAGTTTTGGTAGGCGGCCCTTTGGTGGACATCGCCAACACATGGAGGTTTATGTCCACCACGCTTTTAGGAGGTGTTTGTCCGACTACAAGCTCATGGCCTAAATGGTTGACAAGTTGCATGTGCTTGAAAATGCCTCTACCTCCATTTTGCTTAAGGATATGTTTTGCTTTCCCTTGTTGGTTTTAAAAGGAATTTTATCACTACTGGACATATTTTTTTCCTGGTGTCTGAACCAAAAGGCAGTCTCTCGCCGCACGAGGTGATTTTTGGTCTGCAGCTTCCGTGACGTGCAGGACCAGAAGGGCAAACGGAGGCGCGGTGCTCGCTCGTGTTCTGGCTCGGCAGAGGGGCTGCCAAATAATAGGGATTCTATGGATTCTATCTCTAAACAACTTGATGTAGTATATGGGATTCTATGGGATTCTATGGCATTCTCTGGGGATTCTACTAACTTTTGTAGAGGTCTTATGCTTCTAAGATGGATGAGGTTGAATTTAGATATACACGCTTTGCCTAGTATTGTTCGCTCCTCTTGGTTAAGCCTCGTGAGGGCCCCAAAGGGGGACCACGTTCACTCCTTGCAGGCGATCTTTAATGGGAAAATATGTTGCAGAAGCTAAGCACGCTCTTTTGGGTTTTGGGAATGCAGGCATCAGTACATCGGTTCTCTCAAGACCATAATACTGTGGATGAACGAAATCCACTTTGAAACCATGGTTGAAACCATACTGTTTGTTGGTATTTACAGGGAAATCATACTTCCAGGGTTTCTTAGGTGGTGCGAAATAGATTTCGCAACCATCCACAGTATCCCTGACCGATTGCGAACATGGATGCCGTGCCGTGCCGTGAGGTTCGGTTCTTGCCAATGGCTAGCTTGTTGCTCCTGAGTGGACTGGCGCGAGTTGGAGGCGTCCCTTTTCATCCTCTTTCCTCAGACCCTTTCTGGGGTTGACTTAGGATACTTTTTAAATTTAACCAGTGACTCAAAGTGAAACAAACAATAAAGTATGCATTCTATATCTGGGCCTAGCTCTAATCATGCTTTGAGAGGAGTTGTCCGTGACCTTGAAGCGCATCCACTCAGGCGGTAGGGCTTGCGCAATGCCTCCCGTAAGTCTGTGAAGTCGTTTGCCTTGAGGTCTGTGAAAGGGCAAGACATGTCCCGTTTGTGTCATGACCCTCTTGCCTCTCCAGGCATAGAAGACAGCTGTTTGGCGGACCTAGCATAGACTCTGCAGAGGTCCGTTCAGAGCGTTGGAACGTATGCCAATCCGGGTATTTCAGGGAACCTCATATGGCTGTGGGTTAAAATGAAACCACCAGGGGACCGCAGCTTTTAGTCCATGTTTCCTCTTACAAGGGTTCCATTTTGGTACCTATTTTTGACCCACAGCCATATGTGGCATTTGGGTCCTTTTAATTGCTCCTTTCCCGGGAGCAATTTTCTAGCCTTCTGACGGGGTCTTGGGAGCAACAGTAGTGAATACCTCACTGAGAATGCCGGGTTCCTATTTGGCTGTGGGTCAAAAATAGGTACCCAAAATGGAATCCTGGTAAATGGAAACATTCACCAAAACCTGCGGTTACCTGGTGGCTTAATTTTGACCCATCCATTTATTCTCCTGCCGCCTTCCCTCCTCATGGTCCTCCTCAAACCCCCTTCAAGTTCCCTAACGGCAAGCTAGGGCAAAAACTCCCTGGTTGATGAACAGGGGGGGCCCATCACTTTTGCACGGAGAAACGCCGCCTATGTGTCCACCAAGTTGATTCCGCGGGTCCACGTTGCAGTGGCCAGAGGAGCAGAACCCACATGGGGGCAGTGAGCTTCGTGCTCCTTCGATAGGCTGCCGACTCCGATGGACTTGGCGGCCGAGCTGTTTTTTTCCCCCTGGGCCCAGCGCCCGGGATGGCCGATTTGGGCATAAGAAGGACAGAAAATTGCTCAAGGGTGTCAAGAAGTGGTTGGAAGCGAACAAGTCAAGCCTGGGGCAAATAGGCTAAAACCACCGAGCATTGCATTGCACGCACCATGTTCTGTCAGTGCGAAGTCGAAATCGGCCGGAGTTGCTGACGCAGCCCCAAGCATGTGTTTGTGCGTGCCAAGCACATCAAAATCAATCAGCACGTGCAAGCCCCTGCCAGGTCGAGCGTGAGCTCATGTATGCATGAAATTAGGACTGCATGGAAAATTCATGCCCTGCTGGATGAATGCGCTTGCTTGGCTTGGGGCGCCCCAGTATTTACCTGAAGGAAACAAGTTCCCCAACGTGCGCTGTTGATTCTTGGTGATGTATGTGGGGGTCAATCAACAGGTCCTTTACACGGGAGGAAAACCAGTAAAAAGCTGGTATTTCCCACTAAATGGGAAAAGTTACCCTGATTCAACCAACATATAGCCCTAGCAGATGTTTGGATCGTGTTTTTCCCCGAGGCAGCCTTGAGGGCGAACAGTTGGGAGGTCCAGTTGCCACTTCCCATGGCAGCCCTGACCAGCATGCAATCTATTCAGGGTTTATTTTCTGGCTTGGGTGCGACTTCTTCAAGAAAGAAGCAATGCCAAAGTTTGCACCTTTATCATAAGGTCTGAGTGCACACTTAATTGTGCAGGAGCATGGCGGAAAGGTGGCAAAAGCCAAAATTCCATCCCAAAAGGCTGTTTGAACTGCTGTATGTTGCTGCGCCGTGTCGACACTTGGGAATTTTCCAGCGTACTTTCAAGAATATACCCAAACATCAGAGGAGGACATTGTGGACATCATCTTAATTACAAGTCTATGTCCATGACTGGTTCCAAACTTGACCCAATAAGCGAACCTTAGCTCGCATTCAGAGGTTGGGCGATTTGCCTCCGGGCGCATTCATGTGGGCCTCCTCCCGGGCTCCCATACTCGGAGCCCTGATTGTCGGAAGGCCATCTTGGGACGGAAGGTTTGGGCGGCTTCGCCAAGCGTGCACAGAAAAAAATGCGGCAGAGAGGCGGGAGGAGCATCAGTTTTGATCTTAGATAGCTAGTGTTGACCTGTGATCATTTAAAGTAGCAGTGAATCAGTCTCAGGAATCGACCCCAGCTGCCTTCGCACAGCAGAGAGTTGTTGCAGGGGGGAAGGCCTTGAAGAAGCAACAATTTGAGCAGAGTCTTGGAGCTTTTGGGGCATTCCGAGTCTGGATTCATGCCCTCCCAACGCAGTTCGCTGGCCATTGGCTGTTGACATGCATCCCCCCGAGCAACAGTGTCGGGGCCAATCAGACCAGCCTTCGCAGGAAAGTAGGGAGAGGCCACGCACACCTTATTCAGGAGGAAGGCATCGCAAGCGCAGGGAGTCTTTGGTTGGCGTTTCCGGGGTCCGGTGCAAATGTCCCGCTGGTGCGGACTTTGAGCGGAGAGCCAAGAGACACCCAGACTCGGCCAGTCCAATCTTTTGACCCTTGCGCCAAGCTTTCTGAGGCAAATTTGGGCCAACCTTTCCCCCGGTGAACAGGTCCAAGGCTTGCCTCGCTTTGCTCCGGTGCCGCGCCAGGGGTCCATGCCTGCCTCGCTGGACGAGGGTGCTCTCTACCCAGTAGGCCTGCAAAAGGGGGGGGGGAAGGGGAGGGGGGAGGCGGCCAATGTGTGCGGGAAGGCCAAAAGGGTTCTTTACATGGGATGACCAAGATGATACTTCCCACTAAATGGGAAAGTTACCCTTGGTCATTTGAGGCCCAGGAATATTGATCAACCCCCATGCGTAGGCGGGGAAAACGCCATCGATCGAACATGAATTTGTGGGGGGGTGATCCGCAGAAATGTGGGCGTGTCATATTCTTGACCCCCCCCTCCTCAATCCACAACGATTGGCAATTAGGCCAACATTGGAGTGTATGGGACTGACCTCGCATCAGGGAAGCCATCATGTCAACGTTGGAACATGGGCAGTTGGGTTCCTCAAAGTGACCATGTCTGGAGGTTCTCTAAACCTCATTTTGTTGGGAGTGGGTTTCATTTCACATTTGATGTTATTATCGGAATTATAAACCCGCCCCCCCCCCCCCCCCCGCAGAAGGTCCAACCTCGCAATTGGGCCGGGAATTCGGTTTTTGCCGCGTGCGCCATATTGATTAGGGGTGGTCTGGGAGGCCCGCGCCAGAGTTTGGAATTGTTTGAACGTGGCTTAGTACTCGGTGGCATGATACTGAATTGGATACATTTGGGTTTGTCTTGTTTTTGAGGGTTTTTTGTGGTTCCAAAGGGAAACAAATAGGACAACCAGCATTTTGGGGGGAGTGGTGGGTCCTTTGAGAGTGTCGGTGATGGCGATGGACGGTTCAGGGCTGGAAAGCCGCTTTGCGTACCTCTTCGACTCCCCGCCGCTCGGCATAGGATTTCTGGACATATTTTAGTGCCTCCGGCTCAGGCCGCCGACATTACAGGCCTGCTTTCTTATTTGCGTCCCTTTGGAATTGTCCCCTTGCCCTTCCCCTCTGAGATTTTTGCCCCCCTTTCTTTGTTGAGATCCATTCCCCCTTTCCGCCCTAAGGCCTTTTCTCCCTCTGTTTTTTTCCCTTTTCCTCCCTAAGATGTTTTCACCCCTCTCCCTGTTGAGATCCTTTCCCCCCTTTCCCCCCTAAGGCCTTTTCCCCCCTGAGATCTTCTCCCTTTGCCTCCCTAAGATCTCCCGGGAAAGGGGGGAAAAGATTTAGGAAGGAAAAGGGAGAAGCTCTCAGGGGGGGGAAAGGCCTTAGGGGGGGAAAGGGGGAAAAGGATCTCAGCGGGGGGGGGGGAAGATCTTAGGGAGGAAAGGGAGAAGATCTGGGGACAAAGGCCTTAGGGGGGAAAGGGGAGAAATGATCTCAACAGGGAAAGGGGTGGAAAAGATCTTAGGGCGGAAAGGGAGAAGATCTGGGAGAAAAAAGGCCAACAGGGAAAGGGGGGAAAGACCTAAGGAAGGAAAAGGGAGAAGCTCTCAGGGGGGGGAAAGGCCTGAGGGGGGAAAGGGTGGGAAGGATCTCAACAGGGAAAGGGGGGAAACAATCTTAGGAAGGAAAGGGAGAAGATCTGGAAAGGCCTTAAAGGGAAGGGGGGAAAGGATCTCAACAGGGAAAGGGGGCAAAGGATCTTAAGGAGGAATAGGAAGAAGATCTCAGCGGGGGGAAAGGCCGTAGGGGGGAAAGAGGGGAAAGGATCTCAACAGGGAAAGGGGGGGAAAGATCTCAGTGAAAAAGGGAGAAGGTCCCAGGCAGGGAAAAGGCCTTAGGGGGGAAAGGGGGAAAGGATCTCAACAGGGACAGGGGGCAAAGGATCTTAGGGAGGAAAAGGGAGAAGATCTTGGGGGGGAAAACGCCTTAGGGGGGAAAGGGCGGGAAAGGATCTCAACAAGGAAAGGGGGGAAAAAATCTTAGGAAGGAAAAGGGGGAAGATCGCAGGGGGAAAAAAGGCCTTAGGGGGGAAAGGAGGGAAAGGATCTCAACAGGGAGAGGGGGGAAAACATCGTGGGGGGGAAAAGGGAAAAACTCAGAGGGAGAAAGGGCCTTAGGGGGGAAAGGGGGGATGGATCTCAACAGGGAAAAATGGCAAAAGATCTTAGGGAGGAAAAGGGAGAAGATCTCAGGGGGGGAAAGGCCTTAGGGGGGAAAGGGGGGAAAGGATCTGAGCAGGGAAAGGGGGGGAAAGATCTTAGGGAGGAAAGGGAGAAGATCTGGGGGCAAAGGCCTTAGGGGGGAAAGGGGAGAAATGATCTCAACAGGGAAAGGGGTGGAAAAGATCTTAGGGAGGAAAGGGAGAAGATCTGGGGGAAAAAAGGCCAACAGGGACAGGGGGGAAAGATCTAAGGAAGGAGAAGCTCTCAGGGGGGGAAAGGCCTCAGGGGGAAAGGGTGGGAAGGATCTCAACAGGGAAAGGGGGGAAACAATCTTAGGAAGGAAAGGGGGGGGGGAAGATCTTAGGGAGGAAAGGGAGAAGATCTGGGAGAAAAGGACTTAGGGGGGGAAGCCCAACAGGGAAAGGGGGGAAAAGATCTTAGGAAGGAACAGGGAGAAGCTCTCATGGGGGGAAAGGCCTTGGGAGGGAAAGGGGGGAAAGGATCTCAACAGGGAAAGGGTGGGAAAGATCTTAAGGCGGAAAGGGGGGGCCCCCTTTGAGAGCTTCTCGCATTTCCTTCCTAAGATCTTTTCCCCCCTTTCCCTGTTGGCCTTTTTTCCCCAGATCTTCTCCCGTTCCTCCCGAAGATCTTTTCCACCCCTTGCCCTGTTGAGATCATTTCCCCCCTTTCCCCCCTAAGGCCTTTTTGCCCCAGATCTTCTGCCTTTCCTCCCTAAGATCTGGAAATGAAGGGGGGAAAGGGGGAAAGGATCTCAACAGCGAAAGGGGGGGAAAGAGGGAGGAAAGGGAGAAGATCTGGGGAAAAAATGCCTTAAGGGGGAAAGGGGGGAAAAGATGAAAAGGGAAATCTTTCTCGGGGGGAACAGGCCCTAAGGGGCAATCGGGGGACAGGATCTCAATCGGGAAAGAGAGAAAAAAACTTTGGGAAGAGAAGGGTGGAGATCTTGGGGGGAAAAGGCCTTAGGGGGGAAACGGGGGCAAGGATCTTAAGCGGGAAAGGGGGGAAGAGATCTTAGGGAGGCAAAGGGAGACGAACTCAGGGAAAAGGACTTAGGGAGGAAAGGGGGGGAAAGATCTTTGGGAGGAAAAGGGAGAAGAACTGAGGGTGGGAAAAGGCCTTAGAAGGAAAAGGGGGGAAATAAATGATCTCAACAAGGAACTGGGGGGGGTTCACCAGCATAGGCAACATCCCCAGCATCACTTGCATCATCCGCATCCTTGGCAGGCGCTGATGCGGATGATGCAGGTGATGCTGGCGATGTGCCACTGGAGCTGCTAAGGATGCGAAAGCGCACCCGGGGGGAATCGAACACCCCAATGTTTTTGACAAACTGAGTTGCGTAGGTCCCCCAGTAGTGCCCTTTTACCCAACAGCTGAAAGCTTCGGGGTCTCAGCCCAGATAGGCTCCGGGGTGGTCCGGGGCGGCCCTGCGGTGAAGTTCCACGAGGGTTCCACCAAAGTCCACGAGCACTAAAAGAGCACCGCGTGCTGTTGGGGATATCGCCTGAGCTTATTTGGGGAGGGTTCCCCTACTAAAATAGACCACAGAAAAAAGTTGGTACCCTTATTCTAACCTCTCTACTGGAGGACCTAGCTGTGGGAAGCAAAGGAAGCCGCCATAAAAAGAACAAAACAACAAACCACAATGGTTGGTTGCCTCTAGGTGGAACTGGGGTGAACTCTAAAAGTTGTTCGAAGCGGAATCACACATATTCCTCTTGGTGTTTCACTCGGACCTCGAATTGGTGCAATGGGCCTTGAAGCACAGCCACAGGAAATTTCGGGACCCTATGGCATTGGTCACCTCTTCGCCTATTGGACCAACTCGCTTCGAGGGATGGTTCAACTTGGTGCTTTTGTCTTCTTTGTATTTTCGGATTGGCGCTCTGCCCTTGAGGCGCTATTGCAGGGTCTCAAGCCGCTGGCCTTCCGGCACAGATTTTTAAGACTTGGCCATGTGAAGGTCTGGATGTCTTTGGAGCGGTTCTGAAGGGAGCCCACATGGAAAACCACAAAATTGGTCCAAGTCGCCGTTTCGGATTCATATCATCGACCGCCGCTTTAAAGGCTTTTTGGGGGCCAATTGGAAGGCAGGTCTCAACCACTGGCAGCTGCAACCTGATCGAACTTCGCGGGTAGATCGAGCCACCCGATTCGTCAGGATTTGGGTCTGTCTGTTCGAGACAGGTAAGAGGTCAAATTGGGGTTCAGCCGTGAGCTGCTAAAATAAAATGGCAAGACTGCCCTTCGGGTTTCCCTTTCAACACCGCAAGAATCTCCCATTTGAGCAATGGTCGATGAATCTCAGAATGGAGTTTGGGTTCAGTCACCTTTAAAATGGGTTCTCAAAATTGTGATTGCTTGGTTAGATAATTCATATCGGTATGGGTATGGATTGCAAATTAAGCGGCATGAAACCACCGACCCCCGCAGGTTTTCGTCCACGCGGATGGTTGCGAAACCCATCTCGCGCCGTTCAGAAACCCCTGGTTTCTGCTTCGATTCCCAGGAGACTCATCTCGTGGCGTGGTCTCGGATTTCGCAACCATCCACTAGGTCCCCCAGCTAGGTGCCCTTTTGCCCTTCTTTTTGGGGTACCAACGTAGACTACAGAAAAAAAGAGTTGGTACCTAGTACCCGTCTTCCAACACCTCTCTACTGGACTTTTACCCTTTTTTTGGGGTACGAAACGTAGACTACAGAAGGAAGAGGTTGGTACCCGTCTTCTAACACCTCTCAAGTCTGGAGGACCTCCACCGTGGCACTTCGCACCCTTTCGAATCCCAGGGCCCGGAGCCACGTGACCACCGCCCTGGCCTCCCAAGCGACGGCGGAGGACGACGTGGAGCTGCGGGCCCAGTGGGAGGAATCCCGGCGGCCCATCCCGGCGCGATCGGGGGGGGGGGGGGTCCGTCTGAGACCCGATCGAGGGAACCTCAAGGAAGGGGAAAACCCGGCGGTTTCAAGGGGATCAGAAGGAGCCATTTGGGGATTCGAATTTTGGAGAAACCTTCGGAGTGGCGCATAAATTCATGTTCACTACCTTTTTTCGGCTAAGACGGTGTCGCTTGGGCGCGCGACTAGCCGGCCTGACTTTGCGGCTCCCGCTTCGACCTGCTGGTTTGACTGGCTAGACCAACTTTAAACGTTTGGCCCGTAAATGATGAAGACAAACTTGGCAACAACAACCGTGAGCTTGGAAACTGAAGAGGTAAGCACCTACCTACACACCGGGGCCAAAGATGCATCCGGCTCAATGCGGGAGGAAAATTGATGAGTGAACCTTAGTGACAAGTAATCTCACAAAATGCAGGGAGGAGGTCACTTGGGCTTTCAGCTCAAACTCTGGGATCCATTCGTGTGACCACATGGCAACACAGGCCCAACAAGAAGCCCAAGAAGCCAAGTCTTTGGATCATTCCGCATGTTATGTTCACCTGACGCGATCTTCTGGGCGTATTCCTTGGCCCAGATCCTGCAGTGAGGTGAAACATGTATTGTCTCAGCGTCCCCCCAAGAGTCAATGGTTGTCAGCCCGGCGTTTTAGTTGGTTTCGTTTGCATGAAGCAAAGCTGTAGATTCTGCTTGGCTTGGATTGCCCATTAAGTCATTCTCCCACGCTATCCGAGTTGCCTCGTCCGCACCACTCCCCTCATCCGCAGCCCAAGCACTCAAGCACCACAAGAGGGGTGTGCGTGTCTTGGAGGGCATCGCGTAGGTTCGTTTCAAGGGAACTCGCGCGGAGAACGGCCATTTCGACTTCCGTGCATTTTAAGGGGTCCGTCAGAGAACAGCCAGCCGGTTTCCGACTTTTGAGAACCTCACATGAGCCCAGACTTAGACGCAAACGGCTGCCTTGCTGGTTGAAGTCAAAGAAAGGCAAGTCAATGGTTTGAGGCGACAGGAGGCCCCCATTGAGGGTAAGTCCAAGACGTCCCGAGCCCCCAACAGCGTTGGTCAACATTCAGTTTACCTGAGAGTATGTGTTATTTCCCTCTCGGTTTGAAAGATAATCCATCACTACTGTGTTTGAACTCAAAATATGGATCAACAATTACCATGCCGGAAGCATGCTCCATTTTCTGGAACCTCAAAAGAAACCATGCCCTAAATACCTAAATAAAGAAACCAGGAGGATCTCAAGACCTTAATATCAGAATATGGATCTCAAGACCTAACTAAACCCAGGTGCTATCCCCAACAGCAACCCCCGGACCGCTGGGCAGAGACCGCATAGATGTCCGGGCAAAACACGAGGGTCGAGGGGAACAAAAGGACCCACTACGGATGGACCAAAAGACTCCTGGCCAAGCAGTATTCCAATCCGCCGGCACGAAGCTGGTGCGATAGCTAGGGAATGTGGGAATGAACCCAGGCTTTGGAAACAGAAACCACCGGTTGGCTGGTTTTTTCATCGGGGTCCTTCCATTTCTCATTCCCCGCCTCTCGCACCCATCGCAAGTTTGGGCCACGCGGATGGCCCGTCTGACCGAAGCTGACCCCTTCTTGGTCCCCCTAGCTAGGCGCCCTTTCTCACCCCTTTTTTGAGGGAGGGTTCAAACCTACTAAAATAGGACAGAAAGAAACAATACAAACTTTTTTGGGGGAGGGTTCAAACCTACTAAAATTGACTACAGAAAAAAGGGTACCCTACTCAAACCTCTCTACTGGCGGACCTAGCCTTGCGGACCGACCAATTGGCGAGGACGAGAACCTCGTGGAGTGGCAGGACCTCTCTGAGGCGCTTTCCTCGGCTGGGTGCTTTGGCGTGTGCATTTCTTTTGGGGGTGTCCGGAAAGGCGGCGTTTCCGTTCCCCCCCCCCTCCCCGGGTTCCCATGTTTGTCGGAACGTGGCGCCACGGCTTTTTTGTGGGGGAGACACCGACACACCGAAGCAAATGAAGATCGGATTTCTGGGTGATAAATGGATAGATTCTCTCTCCCCACACTGGGTGTTTCTCCTCTAGGTTGGTTTGCTCTTGATGTCTTGATTTCACGCGTCCGGCTCGTTTGGCTTCACCTCCCCTCAAATTGGGCCCCTTTTGCATTGCTTGAAAGGAAGCCTGTTGTGTCTTATGCTGGAAGCTTCACTGCCAAGACCCCTAAGATGTTTGCTTTCGTGGCCAGATTTCTGAGAAGCCAACAGGAGATCCCCAGTTAATTCTTCTGTGGCCTATTTGAAAGGGGAGGCTCCTCTATTTGAAAGGGGAAGCCCCCTAAGAAAAAGCTCTGTTCCGCAGCTCCCCTATTTGAAAGGTCCCCCAACCCTCTCCCCTCGCTCCGTGAAGCGTGGCGCAGGCCTTGGAGAAGAGTGAGGCGGAGAAGGAGATGTGGCGCTGCAAGGCGGGCAACTTGGGGAAACGCCGGGAAGGTTCAAAGGACGTTTGGTGTGGTATCAATACCCAAAAATAAGATGATTAAAATGATGAAAGTAATAATAATAGCACCAACAGCAATAGTAACAATAACAATAATAACAATCAAAATACTACTACTACTACTACTACTACTACTACTACCACTACTACTACTACTACTACTACTACCACTACTAATACTAATAATAATAATAATAAGAATAACCATAATAATAATAATTAATAATAATAATATAATAATACTAATAATATTTTTAATAGTAATACAAGTAATCATAATGGTAATAATAGCAATAATAATAATCATCATCATCATACTCATAGTAATACTACTACTACTACTACTACTACTACTACTACTACTACTACGAGTAATAATAATCATAATAATGATAATAATAATGATAATAATAATAATAAGAAGAAAAATGCTGATAAACACACATATACAATGTATTGCTGATACTATGCAAGGTCTGAAGGCCGGATTTTCTGGAAATACAAACATATTTCTTGATGAGTATAAATTCTAGGAGCGATATGAAAATACTGGCAATCCCAGAGATGAATCCAGATGATAAACACTCGACTCCTGAGCATGTATAATAGCAGTATGCTCCTAAGCCTTTATGATGACGATTGTTTTAACTCGTGAAATAATACATTGAACTTACACAATATACATAAGTCTTTATTGCTGTTGTGTTCTTCATGTTCGTGTCATTTCTTTCCAGCTCTTTTCAGTCGCTTGACATGCCGGCTGCCCCATTTCCCCATCTCTTCTCCATCCAACCTCCACATTTCCACATTGCACCGGACGAGATAGGTGAAGAGCTAAAAAGAGTTGGAACGGTGGGTTTGTTTCCAGGGGGTCCCTTTCAGGTGGGTGACTTCTCATTTACCCAGATATCCTTGACCCTTGACCTAAAGGACCCCCGACGGCCCGAGGACTCAATCGCGATAGCGAGGTCGCCCGGATCCGGGAAAAACCACCCAGGAACCAGGAAGCCTATTCGGCGATTCCGGCTGCATCTGGAGCCTTGAGGTCCCGGTCAGAAGGGATGAAGAATTGGAAGGGGTGTGGGAGGTTTAAGACGAGGGACGGGCCCCCTGAAAGGCGAGCCACCTCCCCACGTGTTGTTTCTTGTCTTGGTGGGGGTTAAACATCACCGGTTTGGCTCATAGGTGAGGTTCCTTGGTAGCCCGTGATGTTTTCAGGGGAAGGCGTGTTTGTCAGTCAAGGCGTGCTTGAAAAAAAATGCCTAGATAGCCAAGTCGCTGCTTTTTTGTCAGTCACTGTTGCGATCGGTTTTTGGGGTAAAGTGCATGAAAAACCACAGCCACCGGCGATCCAGGTGGGTTATAACTCTTCCATTCGAGGTAACTGGCTCATATCTGGTTGGTTCGTTGGCATAAAAGCTTTGGCGCATTTTGCCAAGGGATGTTAGGACTTTCACTTTTTGCCTAAATGGGTTTTCCGTATTAAACCACTAAAAGCGAGTCACTTTTGGCAGCAGAAAGCAACCAAAGCTACGAAGGTATAAGCTGCCGGCCCCCGCCGGGCCGCCGGGTGGCGTTTTGCACGCCTCGCCTGCGTTCGTTCCCTCGTTCCCGCAGGCCGCCGAGCTGGAGGGTCTTCTCCAGCAGCCAGGCGCAGCGAGCGAGCGGCCAGCCACGCCGGTGGCGTTGGCATTTTGCCTCAAGCGTGGTCTTGGTACCGGGATCGCCAGTGACGATTGTTTTTTGTTTTTTTGCACTCAAAACCCCAAAACCAGGTTATGGTTGGCAACATGTTTTTGTGTGTTGGGTTGAGTCCTTTTTCCTGGCCGGAAAACGCAGAAAGTTCTCCAAATGAACATGTCCGGGAGTGATTTTGCGGCACCTCACACTTCTTTGGTTCATATAGTTTCTCCACTTCAAAAGGCCCCCTTTGTCCCCAAGGGCCAAAAGGCAACCCCAGTCCGTGTGCTTGACTCAGACTCGAGCCTCGCAGCCAGGTCCTTCGCTGTCGGGCGTGGCCACGCCACCCAACGGCCCCACCGGCCCCGGCCCCGGCCCTGATGAGGCCATGTTGCGACAGGGCTTTGGGGTCAAAGGATTTGGTCCACGTTGTGGTGCTCCACAAAAGATCCGTTATCACTCCATTTGGAACTGAGAGAGAGAGAGAGAGAGAAGTGATCCAGTGGATTGGCATCAGATGCTCCACCTTGCTTAAACTGGCCCTATACTTTCCCCATTGCACCGGCTCAAACGCCAAATGAAAGACCGGGGGCTCCTTGTTTGGTATGGACCATAGCCTCTAGAAAGATCAAAGGCGGTTGGCCTCGTCAGGCTTAAGTATCAAGCCCAAAGTCAATGGGTTTTGAGTGCAGTTACAATGACGTTGTGAAACTCCAAGCAAAAGCGGATCGCACCGTTTCCCACGAAAGCGACCCAAAGCCTCGGATGGTCTCCTACGACTTTTGGACCTGCACCGGGCCTGGGCTTGTTTTCGCCGCAACGGTCAACATCAACAAACAGTTTTGAGAGGCCCGAACTTCAAACCGCGAATTGAACGTCAGCTCGTTACCAACTTTGTTTTGAGTTGAGAGGAACCTGGGCACCATGGGGTCAGTCAAAGCGTGGTTTTGATCGAATGGGTCAGGACATGCGCGAAATTTGAAAGCCAAAGGTTCTGACTAGTTGGCCATTTTTTTGCATCGAGCTTTCAGAGCCACGAAGGACGGCGATGGATTTTCATGCTTGTTTTACACGGCTGTCGCTCCTGCCTTCGGCTCACTTCACCTTTTCGCCATTCAGAGGCTTTGGGAACAGTGGGATGGACAGCCACACCTCTCTTATTTGGAGCAGGTGAATTTTGTGACATGCCTCGAGGCCCGCGGGGGCCTCTTCCATAGTTTGATGCCCTTTGCGAGGCACACTTGGCAATTGCAGTTCCAGGATTCCGGGTTGCTCCGAGCCTTAACGCAACGACCAAACCAAGGCTGGGGAAATAGGTCTTGGGTCATATGGAGCAGCCCCGTTTTTATGCTCGGGTTCCAATCGATCGGATGGCACTCGTTTTCCGCGGAAAGAGCGGACGGGTGTCACCCTTTAGTGGGGATTCATATGAGCGTAGATGAAGGTTAGTAAGGGACAATCCCAACCATAAATAGCTGTGGCCGCCTTCTTGATTCTTTACATGGTTCTGGGTCGACCATTTTAATACCGCGGGTTTTGATTATGACTCATATCACCTTTTGGAGGGGCCGGGGCCCCACCCCTGGATGGGATTCATCATCCGGTCCATACTCGTAGGCCATACCTACAGTATGGCTGCAGCCTGCTGTGAGAGTTGCAGATGTTTATCCTGACCCCCCAGCTCCGGTTTGACACACAGGTGCCTTTACACAAATTGCCGGCTCTTCAGCTGTTTTCGGTGATTAGACCAGTTTGACACTTTTTCCTCTGGTGTAGCTTTGAGATGTGCTCAAGAAGCCACCCCTTGCCCTCACCTTCCGAGACCCGTCCGCCAGGATCGCAGCGAGGCGGGGTGTGGGTTCCTGCGCCAGGGAAAGTGAAGCGGAAGCGGGGCCTGCTACATCACTTGTTTTTTCAGACCCCGTTTCAGCCACCTCGCGACCAGATGTGGTGAACTCTTTGCTCTCATGGCCGCCGTCAAAAGTTGCCATGGGGCCCGTCTTAGCTTGGGTTTGAAAGGAACATGCCACCATTCGTTTGGGTTCCCGATGTTGACTCCTCACCGTGTCGAGTCCAGCCACCATTGCATGAATCGCCCTGGCTTTTGCAGACGATGTTAGATGCTCCCCATATTTCAGACAAATGGGTATGGCAGTTTGCCTTGTGGTTTGCCTTCACAACAAGCCGGACAGGGCGCGCTCACACGGCGGCTGCTTTGAACACCGGGCATTTTTCGGGCCAAGCCGTGGTTTGAATGCTTCCGCTTTCTGGGAAGCTTCCCCTGAGCCAGCCAATTGGAGTTTGTCTGAAACTAGGGGACCTTGTTTCCTGGCTTTCTTGTTGCCCCTGTGAGCCCGCCGTGGATTAGATGAGCCACAATCAAAACCCGGGTAGATGAAGGTTAGTAAGGGGCAGTCCCAGCCAGAAATAGTTGCGGCGGCCTTCTTAGTTCTTTACGCGGTTGTGGGTAGACCATTTTAATACCGGGTTTTGATTGTGACTGCTGGCCACTGTTCACAGAGTGGGATGTTGGCTTTGCCCGTCGTGTCTGGCAAGGCTCTATCAGGGAGCCCGACTCTCTATCAAACGTGATTTCCCCAAAGGCTTCGTGCGGGCGGTCCACTTACGCTGTAGCTCAAGCAAACTGGAGTATACCTGCATGAACTTTGGTGCATTTTGCTTGGATGTTAGGACTTTAACTTGTTGCCAACCAATGGGTTTTCCGTCAAACCGCCAAACGTTAAACTTTTAGCAGGGGAGCAGAAAGCAACCAAGTGAAGGCATGTCGGAGGGGTCTTCATCTGGGCGGAATGACCGACGGTTGAACTAGCTTGTTGAGAGAGGCCCTGGGTGGGGACATGCGAGGTTCGCTCAAATGTTGCAGTCTCAGCTGTTCCTGGTGCCTTTGGCGCGCCACCTGCAACCTGCCGATCACGTGGGATGGGGTCGCTAAAATCATGCCCCGTGGAGTCATGGCGGAAAGTTGGGTCTCTGTCATTTGGGTATGTGCCGCTTTGCCTTTCAATTTTGCTTCTTCTCCCGACGCCAAGTGAACACCTAGAACCAAAGCAGTTGGAATTCCTGTTTTATTGCTTCCCAGATACCCAGATTGGGATAGGCAGTGACCAATTCGCCAGGAGCGCGAACGGCGCACGGGGCCTTATTGCAACTGGCCGTCCGCGGTGAAAGTTGAAAATGATTGCATTCCGTTGATCTCTGTTGTGAACGAATGATTCTGGCACCCAGAGTCCATGTCCTGCAGCGTCAGCATGACCATATCTACCAACCCGAACGCTCGGCTCTTTGAAATCTCAAGTCTCAGCCATCGAGTCGTCCAAACATCAGACCAACGGATCAACTCGGCAGCAACTTCTTCCTCCCATTCGGGCTTTTTCGACGGGTTAACAGGCAAATCAAAGGAAACGAACCATGTTTCGGATACACAACCCATTTATTCGTACAATGCCGGCCAGCCTAAATTTTGTGTGGCTGTGATGACAACCCCCCGTGCTGCACGAGGATCCCCCCCCTTACGTTGGCAGTGGCAAGAAACGAAGTGAGGCAGCAAAGTCAACTCTAGCCATTTAGTCTTTTTTAGAAGGGTTAGTGGGGTTCCATCTAACCCACCAAAAGTTCGTGTTTTTCGCGGGGGAACTGAGGACAGCCCAGTTTATCAATTTGTTGGTCTTCGCTCCACCCACTGTTTTGTGCAACGACTGCTGCCAAGCTGATGCTGACACCTGGGCCAGTGATTTCGGGCGTTCCAGGATTCCACAGCTCCAGGTGCAGTCGCCGAACTCCCGCGAGTGAGTAATTATAAGATCCGAGCGGGCAGCTCCGATTTTGGCTCAGACTCTACGCATTCAGGGACAACTGTATTGCGCAGAGAGGTTTCACAGTCCCAAATTCAGGCCGGGGCCTGACGTCTCTTCCCGGCCACCCATACCCGAAAGCCGCAAGAAGTTTTGGCGTTCCGGGGGTGTTGTTGCCAGTTCACCCAGTGCACCAACGAGCCGTCTGGGCGGAAAAGGTACACCCCCTTGTTAACGTTGTGGTCTCAGCGATTTTCCCCCTGTACCAGTGAGGCCGTAGTGCCATCCACATCCATTGCTGGAATTCCAGGCCAAGGGCCTTGAGTGGTTGGCTGAGTGGTTCATATCCGGCTTTGACGCAGCCCAAGAATTTGGGCGCCAACGCCCGACTCCGGCATGCTTCTTCCCAAAGGCTCCGGCAAAAGCCCTGCAGTCCAAGCTCCCAAAGCTGGGGGGGGGGGGGTGATTCCTTCGCAAACTTTGATTCCTCTGTCGTGGCACAGACGCAGCGCAGTCGTCGCTGACGTTCTTCCAGTCAGCCTTATCAAGTTTGGTCACCGCTCCTCTTCCATTTGCCTAATAGTATATATATATATATATTGTTTGGCCTTGTTGGTTTTAAACGGAATCTGTCACTACTGGAAAATATTCGTATTTTTGCCAGGGGGCTTAAGCAAATGAACGTCTTCATCATCTTGAGCTGGCAAGTCAGGAGTGAGCAGCACAGCTCATACAAGCATTGTGTCGACCAGATTCGACGGCGTTGGTCAAGTTCACCATTTCTTGACTGTACGCAGCAAGTTATCAGAGGATGATTGCGACCGAACGAGCTGCAATTTATGGTTCAGACTTCCTTTTGGCAAGGTAAAGCGCCCCCAAGGTGCTGTACGAGGGCCCTCTTTTTCCCAACAGAAGGAGTCAAACGGCAGGCGCCGATGGCCGATGCTTCTTTTTCTTGAAAGAACGTCGATTGCACCTGGAGGACCGAAACAGAAATCAAGCTCGCACATTGAAGTTCGGATGGCCGCGGTCCCCCCAAAAAACAGAAACCAAATGGTGGGCTCGGCATCGGTGTCCTTACAAAGGGTCGTCCGCAAGTGTTGCGGCCGTTTTGTGGGCTTTTGAGAAGGGGATTTTCCTGGTCTGTCAGCGGCCAAAGCTGGATTTCTTTCTGCTGCTCCGAAGTTTTGTTTTGTTTTTCCCAGCTGGATTTGGCGGTTACCCTCAATTGGTAGTTTGGGTCGGTACTTTGGGGAATTGAACCTCTTGCACACGGTAAATGGGAAACCATCACCCCCAACTAGGGGATGCTGAATTTGACAAATTTGTGTTTGTGACGTCGGCTGGTACCGCCTAGCTTCTGCCTATGACTGCAGGTAATGGGCTGCTTGCAGAGCACTGGTGAAGTAGTGAAGACTCCGCGAACCGAGATGCCATCAGGCCGGGGAGGTCGCAAAAAAAGCAAATGGGTAACGGCTTCGGCTTCGGAAAAGCATCCAAAAACGGGGCATCAAGACCCACCCAAATCACGAACCGCGGTTCGGTCCAAGCATATGGAGCCAGTTCGCATGCCGATCTTTTCATTTTAAAGATGTCCGAGTCCAAGAAATCACGGCTGGTCTAGGGAGTCCTCGTGCGAGGTGCTTTTCGTATCGCAGGACAGGCAGCGAACGGTTCTCTAGTGGAGTCGAGTGAGCCGAGCCAGAATTTAGGATGGCATAATGTGTATTGTGTACGACGAAGTGCTTTTGACCAGACCCAGGGATTGCAAGACGCCCCGCTGATGTTAACACCTTTGAAGTATGGGCATCAAGTCAACTATTTCAGAAACGATGATCCAAACATCGTACTTGGATGGGATTTGGCTATGAATTTCAGCATAGTCGACCACTTTTGAAGCGATTAATGGACATGAACCTCCGAGTTTGATGCTAAAGGGCCTGGGACCCACTAATCGGAAGTCTGGACACGCGTCCTCTGGATTTCCCCCAGATAACGTGCCTTCTCAAGGGCTGGCATGTTTGTTTGTCAGCCTTGGCTCTGGCTAGATACATTTGGGCATCACCAGTTCAGAGGCATCACCAGCATCAAAGGCATCATTAGAATCAGCAGCAGCACAGGCATCACCAGCAGCCATGGATGCGGATTTGCACGTCACACATCGCCAAACAAAACAGACTCATATTTTTTCCGGGCCTTCTCCAGATCTTGCGGGCCTTCTCCGGGTTTGCGTGCTCCCCCAACCTCTGCGTGCTCGCTCATTTTTTGTTCTTTTCTTGAAACAAATTGAGAAGGCACTGTCCACTTGGGAAAAGCCTATGGCCAAAAAATGAGGTACCTTACAGTAAAAACGCACATCGGCTTTTCCCCGGGGTATTGTGCCTTCTCAGTTTTTTGTTTTTTTCCCTGGCGGTTCCCCCCCCCCAAACCGGTTCTGCGTCGGCTTGATCGGATCCCCTGTTTGATTTCTTGGGGATCGGGGCCGGTTTTTGACCCCAGGGAAAACAACAGGGTTCCATTTCCAGTCCCAGGGGCCAGATTGCTTGTGAAACAGCGCCATAAGAGAAAGAGTACTCAGTGCGTTGAACCTTCGTGTGAGGGGGGGACAGCTGGGAAAGCAATCATGAAGTAAATTCATGTCTGGGTATAGCGCCCTTTAGAACGGTTCCAAGCATTGAGAAGGCATGGTTTTGTGGAGAAGCCTCGGGGATGGGGGTCCAGACCCTCGATAGGCTAAAATTCATACCGATTCATACCCATGTATCCCCACCCCCGTGAATGGAATTGGGGGAGGGCTGGAATTCCACTTGTCACTTGTGGTTCCATTTTCCCCTTGGGCAAGACTAGATGGAATTGGGAGACCGAACCCATCCCCTCCCCTCAAGCGGGCGGTAAATGTGGAACTGGGGTGGCCCTGGGCTCTTGGCTCCAAGGTATCAGACGAAGGTGAATTCGGAACCTCAGCAACTGTACTGTATCGTATCAACCATGCAAGTCTCCAAACTCGGCGTATCACGGAATATAATATATACATATATATATATATATAGGATATGAACATATATATATATATATATAGGATATGGACATAATATATATATATATATATAATATATATATATATATGAACACCCCCCATGAACTACATTTGGAGCATGCGGTTGATCTCACCCTTTCGACAACACCAGTATTTACAGTGTGTTTTGCATGCGTTGGATGTACAAATATGAGGAACTACCAGGCCGACTTTCGGTCTGCAAACAACGTGTTTCTCAGGAGTTAAGAATGCAACAAACACTGTGTTCTTGATGTTCAATTGCCAACGTGTAAACACACCTGTGTTTACCATAGCCACATACCTCAAGCCAAAAGATGACAGAATGAAAAGGATACGAAGCATAGATGCAATGTTTGCTATCCCTCTCCTTTAGCTCTTGAATTGTTACCAAGCGCTAGGACGCCACAGCTCTTGCTGGATTTGTTTTGGTGCATCTCCCCTTACTCATCAAAGATATGAAACACGCACAAACTCGACTCAAACCAAACAGACCCAAGAAAACAACAAAACCTCGAGAACACCCAAACAACGAAACACCAAGAGAATCCGTCACTCATCAAACACCAGCATGTTTTTTTTTTTTTTTTTTTTTATGTTTGGTCCAGAAGCTCAACAGCCAAAAACAACCCAAGGAAAACCACACAAAACCAAAACAACCTCTATATATGAAAGTTGGAACCGGAGGTTGTGAAAAAAAACAAGTCTCCCACGAGCCTTCGGCAGCGAGACCCAGGTGAGCCCCCGAGGTACGGCGGGAAGGATGCGGACCCGGAGCGGCCCACGGTGATGGGCAAGCCCCTGGGCGCGGAGTCGCACCACCCAGAACCACCCCCCCGAGTTTCATAACTGGTGGGTGGATGAAAATCCGGGGACTGTGAATGGACGAAATCCATTTGGGATGAGTCGGTTCCCCTGTAAATACCAACAAATCATTGTTTCAACCATGGTTGCTGAGTGGTGCGAAATGGATTCCGTCCACCCACAGTACGGCTTGATTCTTGGAGAGGTCCCTCAATCCCAAGAAACCCCAAGGGTGTCTTTCCCTTTCCATTCAATGCGCAAGGGGCCCAAGGGGCGTTTTTCCTTTTCGCCGCGCAAAAACGGCGCGATATCCATGCATTGTTGCACAGCATGGATAGGTTGTTCAGGTCTTCTTATGGCTCCAAGCTGCGGATACGCCACTGAGGACGACCTTGTGCTGCCAGGGGCAGAGGCGATCTTTGGGTCGAAGGGTGCCCAAAGGTCTTGCAGAACGTCTGAAAGTTGGCTTCCATGATCACAGCTATGCTAGCCATGCATTCCTGCGGGGCTTCTTTTTTTGTGTGTGTTTTTTCGGGGGCTGTGCTTCCCACGATGCCTGATTTCATTGGCAGACTGCACACTTGGCATCCCTTTGGAATTAATTGGGAACACACACACACAAACAAACACACACACACACACCAACCGACAATGGATAAGAATAAGTGGTTGGCATCCGAAAGGGAGCCAAGCTGTGGCATTTTTTGTATGGGTTGACCGGGGAATGGTCAACCATGAACAAGGGTGTCTATTCTAAGAAGCCAGCTTGATTTTGGCAACTGTGCTCGGACCTTCGCCAGACATAGGCCCAGGTGTCCCAAAACAGATTCAATCCATTGTCCACTACCTTTGTTTTGCCCCAAGGGGTTGAAAGACAAGTTTACTCCAAAGGCTTTGCAGCGTCGATTCTGTTGAACTCACTCAACCCATTCCCCGCATTTGAGGGAACTTGACATGGATTTCGGTTTCCCTTTTGGTTTCCCTTAGCCACTCCAAGAAGTTGGCACCTTTCGCCTCGAAAAAAGACGACCCGTTTTGTGCAAGACCTGGCCCTCACACCGAGAAGGGGGGTCAAGCATGAGTTCACGTGAAAACCGATGGAAAATACCAAGTTTCCCTCATGATGGTTTCCCTCATAGTTCCCCTGTAACACACCACGTCATGAATTAGTGGACTCTTTTGAGGCTCTTCAGTACTTGACCATGGGCTCAGGTATCGAATGAGCATGGTCAAGAGCGACTTGCTGGGTGAAGGCTCTTCATCCATTTGCCGCAAGGCGTGGTGCATGTCTGGCGTGTTGCATGTCGCCAGGGGTTGATGACGAGGGCCGATCCCTTCATGGTTTTTTGGTACTTGGCATGTCTTTCTGAGCACCCTGTTAAAAGAAGCAGGCTTTGTGATCAAGGGACACACCGTATCTTGTTCTCCCGGTGTTTGCTGCTTTTGCTGCATATTTTTGTTGGAAGGGGGTGCACGAAAACAACGTTTTTTCTAGCACAGGCGTTGGCAAGAAGCAGTGCGACTGGCAACCCGGAGTCCCTGCCAAAGTGCATTCCCGCCATTTTGCGGCGCGCGCTATCCCGCTCATCCAGGCAACCCGTACGGTAAATTACTGGAAAACAAAGCACAGCCAGCAAGTCCGGCGACGTTTTGGGGTGCCCTCTTAAAGTTGTCAAAAAGGCAACCCACAAAGCTTCTCAAACCAACCAAACCAAGCCAGACCAGACCAGACCAACTCAACAACTCTTGCCCCCCAAGCCAAAATCCAGCGGCCGTCAGGGCGTAGACCTGGAGACGGGACAGGCCCCTCGGCGAAAACATGCAACCCACGGACGGCAAGGTGGGGAACGACTGAAGTAGGTTGCTTCCATTTGCTTAAGCTTTTTTTGTTGCCCCTTGTTGGTTTGAAAAGAAGTCTATCACTACTGGAAGTAATTATTATTATTTTTTCCAGGAAAAGCAACGTAGGTTGCGATCCACTTGGACTTGCCCAAGTGTTACAGCCCCAATCTACTTAGGGACTTAACAGCAAGGTGAGTGGACCATGGGTATTGACCTCTTCAGTCTGCTCGTTGAGGTGACCCTAAATTGGTGGTTTGGATGGTCACAAATTGAGGGGAAGCTGAAGTGTTTACTTGTGACCCAAAGGTACCTTTCAGCTTTGTATTGGACAGGGCAAGGATTTTTTTCCCAGACATACCCCTTTTAACAGGGTACCTTCGAAGAAACACGGACAAACTGGATTCCTATCAGGGCGCCAGGCGGCCCAGGCGTGCCACGAGCAAAAGAGCACTCTGGGGTCCAACCAGGTAGCGCATCTCTTTTGGTTGGCATTTAAATGGTACCCTCCCTGCGCCAAGCAGCCGAAAGGAAGGTTTTGGAAGACGGATGTCCTCTTTCGGAACCTTCCTGCTCACTTCCACGATTGTTGAAAGAGGGTAACCAAGCGGAAACCAGGTCCTTTGAAGCACATGGATCCTGGATGGATGTGATTGTGATCGCACTCCCTTGGCCTCGCCTTACACTTAGTCAAATTGTCACCCGGCACTCAGACTTAATCTGAGGCAGCCATAAGCTCAGGTGGCTTCTAGGGAAGCACTTTGCGCACCCCTATTTGTTTGGGGGTCTTCAGGAGTCCACAAGGCCGACCAGCCACTTTCAGGTGTCACTCGTTCGAGCATCACTATTTGGTTGAAGAAACTTGCCGCCTGGGGCGGCAAGGGGAAATCTTAAAATTTGATTCGAAGCTCTCAGACGGGCTTTCGATGCCGAGGTGGAGGTACCATGTGTTAGGTTGTTCTTCAGGGACACCCGAGATAAATCATTTTTGGGGTTTTGCTATGGGGAGGCAAACCCAAGTAAGGGTCAAACATCCGTTGAGGACTTTCGTGCCCATTGGCATGGAAGGTCCTGTGAAAGATGTGCATCTTCTGTAGCCCTGGCAGACAGAATGGACTTTGTTGGGCCACTTGGACTCCTAGCGCGTCCCAAGAGGTTTTCCGAAGGTTTCTCAGTCCGGGTGGCATCTGAGGAAGTGGCGATCAAGGTTTACAAGATGGCGTCCAAAGCAGTGAATAGCTCTGAGGAGCCCGCGGGAACGGAGTCAGTCTCCCTTTTGCTTGTTTGCGATTGCTTGCTTGCCGCAAATCCTCCAGGTGATGTACAACCTTCCGCCGTTGCACGTGGGAGCTTGAGAACGCCAGGGGGCAAAAACACGCATAAGCCGCCTGGAACAACTGCGGCATTGCTTCCCACAAACAGTCATGTACAAGCACTGGGATTCAGCCCGCCTTTTCTTCTTAGCATGACAGAATGTGACTATGGCTTCCTAGTTCCAAGTTTGTGAGTTCAAGGGAAGAACCGCAGCTACGAGAAGTCAAAAGGACACCCTTCTTGCCTCTCACAAGGCGTGAGATTCTCATAGACTTGCACTTCTTCTCATTTCGAAGCTCGGGATATCGCAAGTCACCCTCTTTAATCGGTTTCTTCTTTTGGGGTCATCCCCAAAGGGACTTGAACTCAAAGGGGAGTCATGTTTTGCAATGCCCCGCGCTTTCAATAGACAGTCGCATTGGATGTTGTTTGTTTTCGACTTCGATGTTTAACCCGACAAAGTCGGAGGACGATGTTGGTCAAGGTCCCCGTTTAAACCCACAATAGCCGTTGAGCCATCTATTTTCACCCTGGAGCACAGAGGCATCGTCGCGGTTCACCCAAGTTGCTGACAGCTCTTGTAGCTGTCAAGGATGCTCGCCCCAAAACATAAACAATTGTAGGGGGTAATTGTGGGGATCGATTTTGTTTGACAAACCCATCTCTCCTGGCAGGAAGTGCGCTTGCAGAAGTTTAAGCGCCAGATTCAGGTTCTGAAGATGCCCGGGGACCCAGCCGCTGGGGCCCTTGTTTGGTTTTAAAGGGAAGCCAAAAGGAAACAAGTCTGAGGAAAACCCATGTGTAGGGGAGGTCGTGTTGGGGCCCCACACAAATCAAGAAGTAAGGGCGGTCCGCATGCTTTGCCTTTTTAGGCGACTCTCAGGTTTTTGGGGGGTCCTGTATGACATGATGGCCGATTGTCTCCCGGTGAAGTTCTTTTTGCCAGTAGCAAACATCGAACTTGTCTCAAAGCAATAAGCGCATCGGTTTCCCTGAACCCAAGAAGGACCCAGTCCAGCCCCATGAGTGGCACCTCAGCTCTGCAAATGGGTTTAGGAACCTTACCCCAAGCTAGGCGGGTTGTGCCAGATCTTTCTTGGCATAGACCTCCTTTGCCCCTTTAAAGGGTCGTTTTCGGGATGTCTCCGTCATGAACCAAGCATGAGAGCGACTGTTTTTGGATTTGGCACCTTTTCGGGGTTGTTTCAAGGGGAGGCCCTTATCAAATAAACATAGGAGCCCAATTCCACTGGCACCTCCTCCTCCCCCGTCCCCCCGTGTCGCGGAGGCTGCAGGAGCCCTTCGTGGCCCCGAAGGACGAGACCCTGTGGCACCCGGACTTGGCCAAGGCCACGCCCTCGAAGCTCTTCATGATGCTTGTGGACTACTCCAAGGACCCGACCCGCGGCGAGACCCGCGGCCAGCGGCGCGTGGTGTGGAACTTTTGCGGAGGAAAAAAAAACGCACGCAGAAAGGTGGGTCGTTCCCCGGTTTTCTCGCGACTACTCCAAGGACCCGGCAAACCGGCGAGTGGCGGAAGTTTCGCGCGCCAAGACGCGAGGAGCGCGCAAGGTGGAAACGGGGTACCCGGGTTTCCTGAAAAACTGACCAAAATCCCGTTTGTTGCGTGGTACGAGGAAAACGCGAGGATAGACGAAGCGAAACGAGGGAAGGGGGGGTGAAAATGGGTATTTCGGGGTACCAAGGGTGGTTTCCTGGAAAAAGGAAGGAAGAATATTTCCCCCTGGCTTCAAAGGGCAACGTGAGTTTTTGGGGGTTTCAGGGGGAAAACTGGGTTGCCCAGCGGGTCGGGCTCACCAAACTGGTATTCCCAAGTTCGTGCCATTTGGACATGGCCTCAACAAAGCATACACCAAACTTGGAGGCGCGCAGTTTTCCTCGCAAGTGGCGGTTTTTTGATGGTCCCCCTTTTGAGCTTGGGATAAAGAGAAACCAAAAGCAAAACCACCATTCCTGGGTTCCTCCTTTTTTTGACACATACCCAAGTTGAGGCAAGTCTTTGTTGGTCGATGGCCCAAAACTCGAAGTTCAGGATGAGAAGGGCGAGCCGGCGCCGGATCCGCACGACGGGGTGATGTACGTGATCACAGAAGTGGCCCAATACAGCCTCAAGGACCCACATGCCGCAACCAAAGGAAACGCACCAAGGACTTGTGCTGAAAGCGACAGGCATGTTCTCTTTGGAGAAAGGGAGGGTTGAGAGCGGTAGGGCTTTCGGAGTTCGCCCTGCGGAGAGTTCCACAGACTCGACCAATTGGGAGCCCTACTTGGATGTTCAACCCACATCAGGCAACTAGGTTGCAACCATGGCAAGTAGGGCAACTGGGGCCCCGGTTCCCTTACACCTACGGTTCTAAGCTGCTTACCTCACGTGGGTTGGGCCTCCAATCAACCTCCCTTCCACGCAACGCCTCGCCTAGAGGGGCTCAGACTCGGTGCGCTTGTTCCCGGCTCGCGCCATGGCGAGTAACGGAAGGCCGCTCTCTCGCTGCCGCGCCTGGCGCCTCGGCGTCCAGACGCGCAGCGGGGTTTCTGCCGCTGACTGCATGGCCTGGGTGCGCCGGTTTTGTGAGGATGCCCGGCATTTGTTTTTGCGGGTGGGGGAGTCCCCTCTAACACGCACCCATGTGCAATGAGTACACACCAGCCATTGTCCAGCTTCCTTCCAGCGACTGTCCTTTTGTGGGCTGAGACAAAAACTCCACGATACAGGATCCTGGATCAATGGATCCGTGTGCCCTCGCAAAAAGCCAGTGACAAGGGACCAGCCAGCTCTCGCCCAAAAATGTCCGATACATTGCGTTTCCTGCGCAGGCTTCTTGGATTTGCGCATATGATTTCACAGCCCCAAGGGACTCTAAACGTGTTGTCATGTGAGAGGCTCCACACAAAATAACTAATAGCTAGTTGCAGTAGCGTTTTTCCTCTTTTTTTCCAGACACATATGCGACCAGGGGTAGGGGAAAGCCGGACAAACAAAAACTGTGGCAACCCCCCAAGACCGTTCCACACGGAAGGCGGTTCCGGCCGCCATCCTGCCGAGGCGATGCGGAAGGAGGCGTTTTTTGAGGCGGAAGCGGCGGAGACAATGCTGTGCACATTCGACTCGGTCCCCCAGCGATTGGCGCCAACTTTTACCGTTCCTTTTTTGGGGGAGGGTTCCCCTACTAAAATAGGCTGCAGGAAAAAAGGCGCCCTTATTCTAACCTCTCTACTGGAGGACCTAGGCAAGCTCCCCCTGATTCGTGGTTTGGATTTGGAGTCGAACCTGGCTTTTGTGGAGGGTAAATAGGAAACCACCCCCAAACCACCAATGCCAAACCACCAATGCCAAACCACCAATAACCACCGATTAGAGGGAAGCGGTTTCATCCCTAACCACCGCCAATTAAACCACGAATAGCTACCAGTTCGAGGGAGCTACCAACATTGGATCCATTGAGAACCTTACGTCAGATTCTTGGGCAGTGAAGGTTCCGCAGTGACTCACGACTTCGGATCTTTCACTCAAAGCCCAAAACCGGCTGAACTCCTACAAGGATGAAGCAACCACTTGAAGCGTCATCGATTGTCATTGGAATTGACGTCAAGCGAATGGGAGCTTTTTTGGCCAGGGGCACCACCAGAGCACCGAAAAGCCCCCGCGACGTTTGGCCAAACTGGCGGGCCTGGGGCTTGCTGCTTTCCGAGGATTCCTTTTTCGGCGGCGTGGGTGAAAGCCCCCGGTAGGGTAGGTGTCAAAATAGGGGGTCCCCAAACATGGGCGAGCTGAGAAAAGACAGCTCCCAAAGCTGCCATAAACTAGAGCACATCTCACGACATGTTGAGGTTCTCGACCCCCGTGCACTCATCGAACATTCATTTGGTTTGATTATATAAGGGGTCATGAAGAGGGTTTTTGCAGAAACTGTTTGGTGCCCGTCTCTTTGCCACAATTGTTTCCATTTTTTGTACGCGCACCTCGGCAACGTGCGCTAGGTCTCGAACTCCCTTCATTTGACACCAGCCCAATTGGCTACCTCTTACTTGGATCCCCAGTTTGCATTTTAAGCTTAGCTGGAAAGGGCTGGAATCCAAGCACGGTAAAAATTGGTCGGCGAAAGCTGCGGACCGTTGACCTCGAGGTTCTCGGCGTTTCGGGGCGGCGCTCGGCACAGGCTGATCTGCGGGGCTACGTGCGACAGCTGACCCAGCTGCGGCGGAAAGGGTGGCGAGAGCCGCTGGACGCTCGGCGAAGGGTTTTGGAGACATCGCCTGGATGAGATGCCTGCCGCTTTCACTTTAACCCCGGATTAATAAACCCCTGGTTGATTAATAGGGGGGTGTCCCCTTTTTGTGGGGATTCAGAACACCCCCCTAATAATGGGACGGGTTTATTATTCCTGGGTCAACATTAGGGGAAAGGCAAAATGGGATTGGCCGCCACTACTCTGCTTGCCCTGGTGAGAGGAGTTTAGCGAAGACAGTTCGAACGTGCAAGGGTTCCGGGATGGCCAATTCCTCCTTCGACTGAATTTCTCCAATTCAAAGCAACAACGGAGAGTCCCTATTGTTCCCTGCCCATTGGACAGCTTGGGGGGCATTAGTTGTTTGTTTGTTTGTTTGTTTGTTTGTTTTTTGTTTGTGTGTGTGTTTTTCCGGGCGAATTCAAGCCGCAAAGCAGCCGCGCCGGCAGCAAACAGGGTAGAGATCAGCCGAGGGGCGACGGCAAACGGGCGCTGTTGGCGTTTAGTTTCTGTTCAAAGGCTGGTAGGGGACTGCGTGAGGGACACTTTGCCAGCCAGAGTTGGTTTGTGTTGCGAGCAGCGGTTTGTTCAAGGGCTCAAGGCTGTTCGACCTTTCACAGTCAGCAGCAGTGGGACGCAATCTTTGGGGCATCTGAGAAGTCCAATGTCTAATGTGGCATTCACTTGGCAACAGCTGACTCCCTAAAGCAATTAGACAAGCCAGGGTGAATCACAGGATTTTCCACTTATTCGCGACTTGCAAAAGTGGGAACAACCACAGCTGACTGGAAGACACAGGAAGAAGCCAGGGCCAGCTGGTGTCACGCCAGCTGTGTATTTCTTGTTATCCACGGAAAAGTGCGGCCAAATTCAAGCGCAGTTCTGCCTCTTGTGCTTCATGTCATCGGGCAAATCAGAGGCTGTGGCGAAAACGATCCTATCCAAAATGAAGGCGCTTCCCTGGAAATTCCTGGCAGCTCTGGTACTTTGCCCAGATCCATAGCTTTCTTTGCAAGCTTTCCCATGCCGGACGGATACCTCCAAATGAGATTTCCCAAAGGAAAACCCGATTTGACCGCCCCACTCCACGCCTGCATTATCCTGCATTTTCCACTTTGTGAGCTTGGATTATTTTGGGCGGAACTCTCAGGATCTGAGCTTGGTTGCATGGGACCACTTTGTGCGCCAGCAACACCCTGACGTACAGACATTCCATTCAAGCTTTGTGTTCCAAAGATCCAGCTCCTGAAGATCTACAGGAGCTGTTTGAGAAGCCTCTCGATATCTGCTGCGTTGCCAGATTTCTCCTTAGCAAGAACGTCCTGGGTTTCCCATTTATTGACGTCCATTTGAAATGAATCTGCTGGTGCCATTTTCAAACCTACTACTCCCTAAGGCGCACAAATCAAATCCAGTAGTTTCAAGTTTCCACAGGAAACCAGTCAGCTTTGCCGGGTGCTGCGTGATACTGTCTTTTTGGGAGCCCCTGTTCTTAGCCCATGGTGTACTCCCCATGGGAGAAACAGAAGTGTTGATCAGATTCTGCTTCATAGCCAAGTGGAACAGCAGGGGGGCCGTTCGCGCTTCCAACTCCAAACCAGACTGGTGTTTCCCCATGCTACCGACTTTGGGGCTCAAAAAAATGGGTTGATCAGAAAGAGGTCCCAACATTTGGGTCTGCGGGTTATTGCAACCTTGGGGTTGATTGAAGCAGCCTGGATCGCCAAGTTGCGAAAAGGCTTTTTTTTCAGTCACTGTTGCGATCGTTCTTTGGGGGTTTTCAGTGCAAACGAAAAAGAAAAAAAAAAAAACACGCCACTGGCGATCCAGGAGGTTTCTCTTTGGGCGCTCGCCCCATCTCTCCGCTTGGCACCTGAGGGGCTGCTGGCGCAACTGCCCTCCACTGAGGCGACGGCCCGGCGCTGTTCGCGGATGGCGGATCGGGACGGCGGGGCGGGTCGGATGTTCCTTTGGCTAGGTGCCCCAGCTAGGTGCCCTTTCATCGTTTCTTTTTTGGTTGGGAGGGTTCCCCTACTCAAATAGACTAGAGAAAAAAAGTTGGTACCCTTATTCTAACCTCTCTACTGGAGGACCTAGCTTTGGGTTTCCCTTTTTGGTAGAAACGGTTTGGTTTTGCCTAAGTGAGGTCGCCCCAAAGGAAAGCGAACGGACGTTGAGATTTGTTCGATGGTTCCATTCCCGCCAACTTTGGCAGCAGGAACCTCTTGCCTGAACGGGATTTTTCGGGGACTTTTACCCAGTTGCCCAGTGCTCTTTTTAAACCTTTTTTTTTGGAAGGGTTCCCCTTTAAAGTCAACCAACCAAAAATGGGTGCCTTTTTTTCCCATGGAAATCCACTGGGCATCTTAATTTAGGATCGCCAGAAGATATGCATGCCGCGGGGTTTAATTACTTGGTTCCCCCCGAATTCGTTTTGTCGTGATGAGGCTTCGACTTCTTGAGGCGTTCGGAGGAATCGGCGCTAGCTTCCGTTTTGAGACTCATGAATTGGCCCTTGCCCAAAGCAAGAAATTGCGATTGTACCCTTGTCTCACGCAGTTTGTTGTCCAAGGTGCCGCTTGTTGCTTGCTTCTTCCCTTTTCCATGTTTCCTCTGAGATTTCGTTCGGTAACAAAGGCAGAGCCCCTTGATCTACAAGGTGGCACGTCCAGGTGCTGTACTTTTGCCAGGTGTTCTGGAAGCTGACCGTCTCTAGTTGTCTTTCGCGGCTAAGGTTGGTTGTCCCATCCCAGACCTTGATGGCCAGTTGGAGATCCCTGTAAAAGAGGCTCCACATGGAAGGGACCCTTGATTCAACCCGCAAGGGACCCAAGTGCACTTCAGGATCCCGATGTGATTTTTGGAGGGCACCCGGTTCAACTTGGTTTCGAGGGAAGCCGAAAAGGACAGGTCCCCCTGTTTTGACACCTAACCTACCCCATCCATGGTCGGCATGTACGAGAGCACCAGAAGGACACCAACCAGTTTAGGGGACGGTTTCCGTGTTAGGCGAGCCTTTTTCGACATGTTGGCGGGGTTTCAGGGGCCAGGCGTTGTTTCGTTGGCTTTTTCTCGGGGACCCCCCTACAATACAATAGATTCCGGGTTTGCTTTTGGTTTCCCTTTACCAACATGTTCGGGTGTACTCCAACAACAGACGGGTTAACGTTTTTCTTCTGGTTCACCTTGTCCGCCATGTTTTCTAGATTTTGGGGATAGGACCAACTCCAAACAAAAAGCTAACCCCGCGGAAGAAACACATCGACCTCCAACTAAATTGAAGTACCACCTCCAAAGCAACAACCGGACGCGCCCCCCCCCCAAAAAAAAAGAAGAAGCAAAAAACAACAACAATAATGATAATAATAGTAATACTAATAATAATAATACTACTACTACTAATAATAATAATTAATAATAACAATAATAATAATCATGATACTAATAATAATAATAATGATAATAATAATGATAATAATAATAATAATGATAATTAATAATAATAATAGTAATACTAATAATACTACTAATAATAATAATAGTAATAATAATAGTAATAGTAATAATAGTAATAGTAAACGCAATAATAATAATAATACTAATAATAATAATAAGAGCCATAATAATAATCATAATATTAATAGTATTAATAATAATAATAACAATAATAATAACAATAATAATAACAATAATAATAATAATGATAATAATAATAATCATAATAATAATCATAATCATAACAATAATAATAACAATAATAATAATAGCAATAATAATAATAGCAATAATAATAATAATAATAATACTACTACTACTACTAATAATAATAATTAATAATAACAATAATAACAATCATGATACTAATAATAATAATGATAATAATAATGATAACAATAATAATAATGATAATTAATAATAATAATAATAATAATACTAATAATAATACTACTAATAATCATAATAGTAATAATAATAGTAATAGTAATAATAGTAATAGTAAACGCAATAATAATAATAATAATACTAATAATAATAATAGGAACCATAATACTAATCATAATATTAATAATATTAATAATAATAATAACAATAATAATAACAACAACAATAATAATAATAATAATCATAATAATAATCATAATAATAATAATAATAATAATAATAATAATAATAATAATACTAATAATAATAATAACAATAATAATAATATCAAAAATATTAATAATAACAATAATAATAATCATAATATTAATAATAATAATAATACTAATACTAACAATAATAATAACAATAATAATAATACTAATAATACTATTAATAATAATAAAGCATACAAATGGCTGTGGGTCAAAACCAATGGTACCACTTTGGGGTAGGTGCACCACCCATTTTAGTCTATAGTGGGGATTGGGATGTTCACTGGGGGTACGATTCGGATTTTGATCCATGGCCAAATTAACCACAAAAAGCACGAAACGACCGCGGCGCCACCCAACCTCCCCCCCTCCCCCCCCGAGAAAAAAAAGGAAACAAAAACCAACACGAGACGACCGCAAAAAAACAGCGACTTCGGCAGGTGCGGCCCAACGTCATCTGCTTCGGCGCCGCCCTGCCCGGCGCCGCCGGGCGCTGGCGGTGCTGCTGGCAGCTGCTGCGGGAGCTGCGGGGCCGGCTGCTGGAGCCCAGCGACGTGGCGCGGGGCCCAGGGCTGAGACGGGCGGCGGAGACGGGCGGAGGTGTCCGGTTTGGCTCATCCAATGACCCCTGGCACCCATTTGGGGATTGGTTTGAAGTGAAGCCAAGAAAGTTGGGGCAGTGGGAAGTTAGGGTGTCCTCCAGGATCGCCAGTTGCGTTTTCGCTTTTTCCCCCAACAGCTGAAAGCTTTGGGGTCTCAGCCCAGATGGTTCCACCAGGGTTCCACCAGGGGTTCCACCAGGGTTTTGCCAGGGTTCCCCCCCAATGTTCCACCAGGGTTCCACCAGGGTTCCACCAGGGGTTCCACCAGGGTTCCACCAGGGTTCCACCAGGTTCTGCAAGGGCGGGGTGGTCTGGGGTGGTTTGAGGTAAGGTTCCACGAGGGTTCCACCAGGGTGAGGTAGCGTTCCACGAGGGTTCACCAGGGCGGGTGGTCCGGGTGGTTTCCACCAGGTTTCCGCCAGAATTCTGCCAGGGTTTCACCAGGTTCTGCGAGGGCTGCAGGGTGGTCCGAGGTGGTTCGAGGTAAGGTTCCACGAGGGTTCCACCAGGTTTCCACCAGGGTTCCACCAGCCCCAGGGTTCCAATTTCTTCGGCGTGGTCCGGGGAAGGTTCCACGAGGGTACCAGGGTTTCACCAGGGTTCCACCCAGCGGTCCGGGCTGGTTTGAGGTAATGTTCCATGAGAATTCCACAAGAATTCCACCATGTTTTCCAAGGTAATGTTCCATTCCAGCACGGTTCTAGCAGGGTCCCACGAGGTTCTGCCAGGGCTGCGCGGGGTGGTTTGAGGTAAGGTTGTATGAGGGTTTCAGGGTTCCACAAGATTCTGCGAGGGCTGCCCTGAGGTTTCACAGGGGCTACAAAGCTTTGCAAGGATTCCACACGGGTTCCACAAGGCTCCACAATGCTCCACCAAGGGTGTGTCGTGCGCCCGTCGTCTGAAAAGCCATCGGATCAAGATCGCTTTGCTCATGGGCGGAACACTAAGCAAAACCGAAATCAATGGCTTTTAGCACACTTTCACTGTTTTGTGACTTGCTCACTTGCTCAGGCAAATGTTGGCTTTGTGGCAAATCAGATCACGTCGCTGCGGAACTCACGGTGCAGCAGAGTAAATGCTTGGCATTGCTGCTTGGTGGGCTTTGGGTTCCAAGAATTCCACGAGGCTGCGAGGGCTATGAGGTCAGAAGGTTTCCACCCAATTCTGCAAAAGTATGGGGCAGCCCTGAGGAAAGGTTCCAGCAAAGTTTGTTTGGGCCCGATCGGCCCCAATTGCGCCATCGCGCCCCGATCGGGGCCGTCGGGCCCCGTCAATTGTACCAAGCTGGCATCGCCTAGTTTTGCTATAGATACAGTTGCAATCCGCATACTAAGGAAAACCGGCGTTGAGCTATAATATGGGTGGCTGGGGTTGCGCCACGGGACGATCGGGGCCCGATTGCGCCGTCGGGCCCGATTGCACCGTCGGGCCCCGATCGGGCCCCGATTGCACCGTCGGGCCCCGTCAATTGTACCAAGCTGTTAGGCGATGCTATAGATACAGTTGCAATCCGCATGCTAAGGAAAACTGGCGTTGAGCTATAATATATGGGTGGCTGGGGTTGCACCGCGGGACGATCGCCGATCGGGCCCCGATTGCACCGTCGGGCCCCGATCGGGCCCGATTGCACCGTCGGGCCATCCTCAGCAACACCGGCGGTAAGGATGGTCCCGGGGCGTTCCGCGAGGATTCAGGGAGGGTGTGGTGCTGTTGGGGATATCGCCCGAGCTTATTCCCCCATGCACTCAAAACCCCCAAAACCGATCGCAACGGTGACTGAGAAAAGCGATCGCAACTTGGCTATCTAGGCTGTTTGGTTTGGCTCATCCAAGGGGCCCCTGGCACCCATTTGGGAGTTGGTTTGAAGTCTTGACGCCAAACAAGTTGGGGCAGGGGGAAGTTAGGGTGTCCTCCTGGATCGCCAGTGGCGGTTTCGCTTCTTCTTTTTTCCCTACGCACTGAAAATCTTTAGAACCGATCGCAACAGTGACTGAGAAAAGCGATGGCAACTTGGCTATCTAGGCTGTTTGGTTTGCTTTGAAGTGAAGCCAAGAAAGTTGGGGCAGGGGGGATTTTAGGGTGTCCTCCACAATCGCCAGTTGCGTTTTCGTTTTTTCCCCCTATGCACTGAAAACCTCAAAAACGGGATCGCAACAGTGACGGAGAAAAGCGATGGCAACTTGGCTATCTAGGCTGTTTGGTTTGGCTCATCCAATGACCTTTAATAAAGTGAAGCCAAAGAAGTCGGGGCGGCGGGTGGGGGGATACCCTCAAAAAGACGAGACGCCCGTTTAGGACTCACCAAACATACGATCTGCGTTGAAACGTTGACCGCATGTGCCGAAACGTTGACAACACTAGTCTGCTTATTTTATAGCTTTAGCTCACCGGTATTTGGGGGTAAAACAAGGTTTAAAGCGATGATAAAGGTCCTTTACTTGGATCCAAGTCTTAATTGAACTTTTGGAATTATTGTAAGATTTGGGCTGGCCCTGGTAAACCCACTGCTTGAACCATTCACCAGGGCCATCTGTTTTCCCAAAAGGACACCTATGCCGGAAGGCTTTCGGATTGGGTAGGTTTGGCGCATCTTCTATTGGGGGAGTGTTAGGTTAGGAGGTTAGGAGGGCTTAGGCCTACACACGAACACGTATTGATGGTTGAGATTGGTTGGTCTGGAGTGATGCTCATCTTTAAATTGCATCAGCTTCCCTGCGGTTTGCTGGACTTTTTGGCGCCAAGGTGTCTTCTCTGCGGAAATGACCCAGAATTGGTTTATGGACCCCAACTGGCGCCGTTCCGAATATTCTGCATAGGTTTCTCGAATCAACGACTGAAAGCTGCAGTCCGTGTTCGAAGAGCCTCAGGTCTTCAATACTGCCATCTCCGCATGCGAGCGCCCTGGCCGAGTCCCCTTAGAGCTCCAGCCAACTGGGACCACCTCAATCGCGTTTTTTTTGGTCCCTTGCAAAAAGTAAGGCTTTTGGGAAATATGTCAGAATTCCTAAACGTGATGCCGGGGTTGACTGTCAGGAAGCAATTTCAAGGAGAGGTGAAATTGAAATGCGAGAGTCCCAAGCATAGCAAAGAATAACGAGCTGTGTCCACCAAAGGCCCCTATTAACATGTATGACTATGTTTCCACAAAGGATGCTTAGGTTTCATAAATTATGCATGCCGGGCGGGGTTGGGGGGTGGGGGTGGGAGTCGAAGTGGATACGGGAGGCAATAACATCTTGCTATGGAGAGGATTGCTGAAATATGTCCTACATGTCCAACAACTGTTTGAGTTGTTTGATTTAAGTTTAATGGTGCCTTCAACCGAAGCACATGTTCCGGCTACAATTGTGTCTTGAAACCGCAAGGTGTTTGCATTGGTTAAGAGGCTCTTTGGACCCTTTCGAGCTACGAGCGATTGGTTTCCGTTTGGTATCCCTCTTTCAAGACAGTTGCAAGGTCAGGAAGATCTTCAACATTCCATTTCTTGAGCAACCCCCCCTAAGATGTATCCAGATACCGGGTGCTTGATGTTCGAGGCATCAGACGCCTGGGTTTAAGTCTACCCTGGGGTTCCAAAAGCAAGAACGAGACCATAGGCAGAGGTGTCCCTTTTGGTCTTTTTGAAGATAAGGCGCTTATTTCAGTGTAGTGCTACCACGGTTTAGGGCGATTTTAAAAAGAGCTGGGACTCTTTGGGGCAGAATCGGACTTGTTGATGTTTTGGCCTTGGCAACCATAGTACCGGAAAGAACGCCTTGGACAGGTCTTTAGGGCGGAGTCCGAAATTACGCTAAAACTCAGGGTAGCTTCAATATGGACTACACTCCGAACAAATGGGCCAAGGTTTCACCGTAAGGGGCTGTTCGGGTCTTAAATGGTTTATTTGGGGCATCCCACGGCTTAAAGGGGTCCGCGACAATATTAAAGCAAGCCTCTCTTGAGGCTCCACATCGGGTTGGTTCACGAAAGCAAATCAAAGAGTACCAGGGCGATTCCCGGAAGATGCGCCCAGACCGGGGGTTTCATCACATCCCCAAAACCACGGCAACAGCATCACACATCGGAGCTTTGTGAAGCCAAGTCCAAGAGGGGACGAGGCACGACAAGGGGGGAGATACTGTGGATGGTTGCGCAATTCATTTCACACCGTTCGGAAGCCCTGGTTTCTGATTCGATTCCTCAAATATCCGACAGACCTTATGGTTTCCTTCCCATGGCAACTCGTTTCGTGGTGCCATATGGCTATGAATGTTGAAATGGGACCCTTTGGTGGACATCATTTAGGTAGGGATTCATGTCCACCAGTCATTTTTGAGGTGGTCCCCTATCGAATTTATTGAACTTCATGGCCATATGGACTTCGCGTCCACAGTAATGTTGACCCCGGATCAATAAGCCTGTCATAGCCTGTCCCATTATTAGGGGGGTGTTCCCTCCAAAAGTGGTCTGAATCCCCACTAAAAGCGGACACCCCCTATTAATCAACCAGGGGTTTATGAATCAACATTACCCAAAAATCATGGGCTGATTCCTCTGTAAATACCAACCGACCTTCTGGTTTCCTTACCATGGCAACTGATTTCGTGGTGTCGGACGCGGATTTCGCGTCCAACGCCGTACCCCGGATGGAACCGGAGGGTCCGTGGCTCGAGCACTTCGCTCGAGGAAGGCGCAGGCCTGGCGCGGCGGCTTCGCGCTCTTCGGCCTGGCAGGCGGGTCCCGGGGTCCCCGGGGGTCACATGGCGAGGGGGGGCTCTCCAAAAAACGGATTGGAGCTCTCCATTAAAAGTATTCCAAAAAATAGTTTGCAGTATTTGAATTTCTCCAGGGCTTGAGAAGCTGGTTCCCTAGTTGCAGTAGCTCTCCAAACAAGGGGATGCGGACCGGGAACCAAGATGGATTTGGGTTTGCGGTTGGGATTCCAACAAAACACCACCCCAAAAAGGACACTGAGCCTCAAGAAACGTACACACACACATATTCCAATATGGCAACGAGTTACAACCACCTAAAAGACCTCCACCAGTGTCTTCGGTTTTTGGGAACCCTCTTTTTCTACTGGCCAACAGTGCTGAACGAGAGAACATACCTGGATCGGCAGTTGCGATCGTTTTTTTCCATCCACTTTACCCCAAAAATCAATCGCAACTGTGACTGAAAAAAGCGATTGCAACTTGGCTATCTAGGTATGCGGTAAACAACGCGAAAACCCGCCGGTCGCGGCTCGGATCAGGCTGCTGGGCGAAGGGCCAGTGTCTGGAGGCGAAGAACGGGCTGCTGCGGGTGGCCTGGGTTCGCGCGCTGGGCTTGGTCCCAGGCGCGATTCGGATTTCGAACTGCTCGGAGTCGTTGAGGCCAGGGACCCACGCCATCTCCCGATTTTGGTTTAGACATTGCCTGGATGGCCAAGTTGCAATCGCTTTTTTCAGTCACTGTGGCGATCGTTTTTTTGGGTAAAAAGTGCACGCAAAAAAGCGATCGCACCTGGCGATCCAGCTTCCCACGAGTGTGCCATCCACTTTTGTCCCAGGAGACTGGCCCTGTTCTTGCCAAGAGGGCAGAAGGAACACCAGGGGACTCGTTTGAAGGGGGAGCAGTGGGAAACCGTTGCCAGGGATCCAACTGGTTTTTAGATGTCTAGCTTCATTTGTTCCATGTTCTTTTGGAAAGGGAATGAGTTAGAAGGAAATGTACAGGCATGACGATTCAGCGGTGGCATGGCTGCAATTTCCTGCACTGGCAAAGTGGTCGTGATGCACTCTGCTAGGTGTGTACACCATGGTTCTTACGTAGCCAAAAGCTGGGTATGGTTGTTCCAGGAGTGCAACAGCAGGGTGCGAAGTCTGGGGTGGGGTTGGTGTCCGGGTTTGGGGTTGGTGTTTGGTTGGTTCTATGGATTCGGGGTGTGTTTCGGGTGGGTTCAGGGCTCGGGGTCAATCTTCGGGTATGTTGGTTTCAAAAGCCGGGTGTGTTTCCCAGTCGATCGGGGTACAACCTTAACACCCTCAAGCAGGGGCGCCCGTTGTCCAAGATGGTGACCAGCCATTTTTGCTTTTGCATGGGTTTACCTTTCGGCCAGTAACTATGAAGGTACATCCCCCACTATTTGTTCCATGTTTAGCAAAAGTTTTTGTCCAGGTCCGATTCCAGCTTGTTTGTCATCAGATTTCTCCAGTTGCGGATGGGGTTTGTGGCGAGCTTACTTGGGCGTTTCCCAGCCATCCGGTTCTTGAGCGTCTTCCTTTTAGCTTGTTAGCTGGTTTGGTTTTCCGAATCTCAGAAAATCGCAGAACATCAGAAAAAAGTAGTGCCTGGGTCGCCAGTTGCGATCGCTTTTTTCCATCCACTTTACCCCAACAACCAGCAACAGTGACTGAACAAAAAAGCAGGCAACCTGGCTATCCAGGTGGTTACCAATAGTTTCCGGATCTCTGTCAGTTTAAACTCTTTCGCAGAAGATCCGTTAAAAAGAAGAAGAAACGATGGCATCCAGGTCAGCTGGATGCCATCTCCTTCGGCGCCATGGTGACAAGCCTCCCGTGGCAACGGGCCGTGGGCTGCCTGCAGGAGGCGGGGAGAGAAACCGTGAAGGGTCCGGCGGATTTGAGGCTACCTGGACCCTCCAACCGCCCCAACACAGGAATTCGGCCCAACAATTTTTGGGGCACGGGCGCATTCTTCAGGGTAGTGTTCGAGGGTCGTGGTTTTAAAGGGATTTGGTGGGTCCCTAAAAGAGCTTCATGAAGACATTCTCTTTCTCGGGCATGGCTGAAAATCGTGGTCAAAACCACTAGTCGTGTGGGTTTCGCCATGAGCGAATTCGACACGCCTGCGCTCGAGCAGGTACATCCTCATGCATTGCATGTAAGTGAGCAAGCTTGTATCAATGAATGACAGGTTGTGCAACCCAACCATGCAATGCCAACACGCGCACATGGCATGCGTTCGCTCGTTAGATGGCACGGAAGTGATGACGACGGAGGAGTATTCCGTGTGGCGGGAAGAACTGCGCGGGCACGAAGATGCGGGCTGTTTTTTTGACTCGTTGCGGCGCCACCTGGCCAAGAGATTCCCAATTTCCAATTGGTACTCGGTTTTCCATTTGTTGGTGTATGCTCATTGTCTTGTGTCTTTCGAAAGTGTCGCAAACTTGCGCAACAGCAGCGTAAGAGCCATGGTGTTGGTGTAGCTCCACTGCACTGCGATGCCAGCCGATGCTGCACATGCGACGCAGCACCAAACCACCCCCCCCTTGCCCGAAGCCCCCCTGCTCCCCGAGTAAATGCCGTGCAAAGCAGGTGTTGCACCAACAAACTGGCAAAACACCTTCTCGACGACGAAAGGGGTTTTGCTTTCTCCAGTGGCCACTGGCGAAGTAAGGATTGGGTTTGCCAAATTTCAGGCGGCTTACGCTGGCTAGCGACCTCGGCATGTTGGGGCCAGACAGTCCGTGGGAGAATGCTCAGTGTCTGACGGCCATTGTACGGCAATATGTTGCAGCCACAGGTGAAGCAGAAGGTCTGGCAACATGCGTTGACTTGTTGCAAGCGGCAGGAAGAGGCGACACGCAACGTGTTCTGGAGCTCTTGGAGAAACCGCAGGATCCCAATGCTGCTGACAGACACAGCCATGCGACACCTTTGCATATTGCTTCTGCAAACGGCCATCTTCAAGTTGTGCAGTGCTTGCTGGATGCCGGCGTGGATGCGGAGAAGGTAGACAAACTGATCAGATCACCCTTACATGTGGCTGCAAAGCGGGGCCACCAGGCAGTTGTGCAGTGCTTGCTCGATGCCGGAGTTGACAAAGAGAAGGCGAGCAGAAGCAAATTCACACCATTGCATATTGCTGCACGCCGGGGCCATCAAGCAGTAGTGCAGTGCTTGCTGGATGCTTGTGCTGACAAAGAGAAGGCAAGCGGCGGCGGCAGCACACCATTGCATATTGCCACATTGCAAGGCCATCAGGAAGTTGTGCAGTGCTTGCTGAATGCTGCTGCTGACAAAGAAAAGGTTGTCATGGATGGCTGTGCGCCATTGTATCTTGCTGCCCAGCTGGGCTACCAGGCAGTTGCACAGTGCTTGTTGGAAGCCGGTGCTGACAAAGAGAAGCCAAACAATGCGGGTGCCACCCCGTTGCATATTGCTGCAGACCAGGGTCACCAGGCAGTGGCGCAGTGCTTGCTAGATGCTGGTGCTGACAAAGAGAAGGCAGATAATAAGGGCGCTACACCGTTGCATTTTGCTGCAGACCAGGGTCACCAGGCAGTAGCACAGTGCTTGCTGGATGCTGGTGCTGACAAGGAGAAGGCAGATAACAATGGCGCTACACCATTGCATTTGGCTGCACAGCGGGGCCATTTTGCAGTGTTGCAGTGCTTGCTGGATGCCGGTGCTGAGAAAGAGAAGGCAACCAATGAGGGCTATACACCATTGCATCTTGCTGCTTTCCAGGGCCATCAGACAGTGGTGCAGCGCTTGCTGGATGCCGGTGCTGACAAAGAGAAGGCGACCAAGCTTGGATTCACACCATCGCATCTTGCTAATCGGCAGGGCCATCAGGCAGTGGTGCAGTGCCTGCGCGACTAAAGGCGACACGAAAGCAACGACAAAGTTGGTCCGTCGTGAAAACTGAAGATAGACCAGCTGGGTGAAAGTATTCTTGCCAGTAGGGAATGACCCAGGGTTTGGGAATCAATGTAGGAATTGCCTGGAAGGAATGGTTTATCTCGGGGTTATTCCATTTCTCATTCCGTGCCTATCGCACCATCAAGTATTGCACAGATTTCACCCACACTTGATTGACGGTTCCTTACCGAATCGTCCGGTTCCTTCTTTTTTTTTCAGGTTTCTCGTCGGCGAAAGGTGGTTTCCATTTAACCCGCAAAGATGTGATTCACTTGCAGATCAGAAAACGGACATCCCAGGACCCAGGACACAAGTCTAGAAAACGGTTTGGATGCGCTATTTGTGGATTTTGCCGTTGTTTTTCTTTGTTGGTCCTTTTTTGGTACTCTTTTAGTACTCTTTTAATATTCTACAAACCGTTTCCCAGAAGGTTTTGGGGTCTTCTGGAGCTGAAGGCTTTGTCGCCTCCGGAAGCTGGGAACTTCGACGGGTGCAACAAGTGGGGAATCCGAAACTGGAAAATGACCAGGGCGGTGGCCAGTGTTTGTCTTTTTTTTTTGGGGGGGGATGGCCTGGATGTTTGTTTTGTTGCTTTTTTTGGGGGGGAAGTGGGACAACCCAAATATCCGACGCAAAGACACCAATCAGCGAGTCATGTTCAGAGTGCGCGGCCATGGCCCAATGTTGGTTTCGTCACACCTGCAACTTCCCTCGCTGAGAAAACAGTGGTCGAACACTGCAATTTGGGCGTCTCATGTTGTGGGGACTCCCCAACATGGTGGGTTTCCTCTAAATTTCCCTCCAAAGCCACTCAAAACTGGGTACCCTCACAAAATGTCACACCCATATTTTCGGCCTATAGGCTAGCCAACTTGGTTCGCGCGGAACATTCCTTTTCTTGAATGGCATTTAGGGGAACAATATGAAAGAAAGTTGGACGGTTTTGCCCTCAGCAGACGCGGAGTTAGTTCAATTGAGAGACCCCCAGCCTGATCAACCAAAAAATCCAAACTTCAACCGAGCGCAACCGAGCGTGACCCCCAAAAGCGCGCGCGTGATCCGTTGGTGGACCCCCCAATATATACATAAAAATACATGTCTAGATATGTATATATATATATATATGTAGATATGTCTAAATATATATATATATACATGGTTTTCCTTGTGGCTGCCTTTTACAACTCACGGGGTGTCACCTAACGCCAGCTATTTCTGGGGTTACTTGAATGGCGACCTGGGTTAGTGACCAAGACCCCCAGCGAAGAAGTCCTGTAACTGGGTTACAGGTGGGTTAATCATAGGGTATCAACCCCTTGCTAAGGCCATTCCTTCACTTTTAGGGCACACCCACCAGGAATCCGAAAGGTTTGACATGGGTCAGCAAGTCCGGCTGACGGACACAATCCTGCACCTAGGATGCCGAAGGCCTTCCAAATTTGGACAACCCGACCAATTGGTGCAGGAGTTTTTGTCGGTGTAGATTCCCAAGGTTCCCTCAAGCACGATCTTGAAGTTCCAGGTGCGACGCCCTCAACCACCCGTTGTTTGCATGTACTACAACATTGTCCCGCAGCTTTTTGTGTACAGGTCTTTCTAGATTCCCTTACAACTTGTGAATTTAGATAGGGAGCCTCAAAAGTGGTTGGTGGAAGTGACTGGTCCACCAGGGGGTTCCTCATTACAAGTCATACCCACATAATTCTGTGGCAACGAGGTTTTTGGTTGAACTCCTGAGTTCCTGGACTTTCAACTTCTTTTTAAGGAAGACCATTTTAGCGATCAACAAGTTTAGAGAGTAAATGGGAAACCACCCCTTGGCCACTCCACCAATCCAAGCCACCAACTTGGGGAAGCCGATGTCAGGTGCTGCAGCGCCGGCTGGAGCCAGGCCCAACGCAGTCAATGCGTCGCTCGGGGCGGGCAGAAGCCACAAAAAGTGTGGGGAAGCCTGGTGAAACACACGTACTTTCCGGGAAGACACACATGGAACCCAAGGCGCCTTGAAAAGCGACCTGCATGCAGGTATGTCAGTTGTTGGGAGGACAACATCGTTTTGTTTAGCAAAGCATGAAGACACTATGCATTTTTTTTTTTTTTTTTTACAAATAAGAAGCAAGCCCAATCCAATGGTTACATAGAGTTTATCACCCAGCCCAATGGGTTTTACATATTATACACAACATATACAAATATATGTATATATATATATATATATGTGGTATCCCTCCCAGGGACCTACCTTTTTGAAGAACTCACTGACATGTATATATATATATATATACATATATATTTATGATAAATATATATATATATATATTATATATATATATATATGCTACCCCCCCTCCCCAGGGACCTACCTTTTGGTTGCCTCTCCAGTGCATGTTTTGCCCATCTAGGACTGGGAGGAACGATCTCTCAACTAGGACCAGGACCAAATGAGACTAGAACCCAGTATCTCTCAAGTGGGACTGGGACCAAACTAGGACTAGACGACCCACCTCAGATTCTTACAAAAACAACTTCAAGTATAACTTCCTCTGTAATGTCCTGTATACTTTCTAATTATTGCAGTAAACTAGGGAGCAACCTAGCACTAGAACCAAGGATCTCTCATCTAGGACCAAACTAGGACTAGACCATTTAAGTCTACTTCTTATAGTATTTGGATGTCAAGTACTACATTCTGGTGGAAAGAAGGTCATGTTTAATATTTGGTTTGAAACAGAATAACCATAAATTTTGATTGGATATGTTCTGTAATTTGTTCTACTGTTCAGATAGCAGTTGCATGGAACTTGATTAATATATTAACTACAATTCATAAGGAACTTCCTTTGTACTGTCCTTTGTACGTTCTATTTATTTCAGTAAGCTAGGACCATACTAGGCCTAGAACTAAGGATCTCCCAACTAGGAGTAGGACCAAACTAGGACTAGACCATCTAAGAATCTAACTCTAGTTCTGAAAGTGATTGAATTTCAAGTACAATGTTCTATTGGACAGGAATCGTTTGTACCATTTAATTTGACATAGAACAATCAATACTTAAGTTCGAATCTAAATCGAAATTCTGGCTGGAGTATGTCCTTCTTAAGCTCCATTGAATTTCAAGCAGAAATTGGGTCGAATGTGATACAACATGCAAAGTGGAATTCATAAGGAAAGAATCCAAAGGTCCAAAACTTGTGTCTTTTCACTAGTCCTAACACTACCATGGTCAGAAATCACCGTAAAACACAGCGTTGTGTAGTGTTTTTCATACTCAATTCACATCTCCACCATGTAATGGTAAAATATCATGTTTATTATCAGTTAAATAAAAATGCAATCTATGTAAACTTTTACTTGAAATAATATTATAATCATCTAAAGTATCTATTGTACTATTTATATTATTATTTCTTTTAATTACTATTTTTTTTATTATATCATATACATTTCCATCGCTTGATAAATTCTCATAATTACTTAATTCTTTGCAATGTATATAAATAATATCAGTTAACTCCAAATTTATTTTACCAGTAATATAATTTTCATTTAAATTTGTTTCAATATTTTGATAAATTCCAATACTACTATTTGCAGAATTTACATTAGCTATATATTTTTTTCTTCACTTGATTCATTATCTAATAAAAATGTAAATTTATAATTAATTCCAGTATTTGATAATTCTGTTAATTTAATATTACAATTTTTAATATGTTCATTATACGTATAACTAAATTGTAAATTTACATTATCTTTAGTATTGATGAAAGTAATATTATTATTTAATTTATCAATTAAATGTTGTATTAATTCATTTTCAGTATAATTATTAGAATCTAATTTAATTTTTATATAATTATGAACATATCTGTCTTCAATATTTATTATAGTGTTGTCTGTAAAATTTTCTATAGGTATAAGATTTGTAGTATTTATAATATCTATATATATATCATATCATTATAATTATATTCAATTGTATACCAGTTATGTGGTATTGAAATTTCACTAATATACATGTTTGTATCTTTGTTTGTTTTAAATGTATCTGGTAATTGAATATAAAAATCAGATGTTGATGCCGATATTTGTAATTTGTGATATGTATCAATATGAATTGTTTTATATTTTAAATTATTATTATTACATTCCATAAAATTATTCATCTTTACAATATATATTATATTATTAATTACTTAATTATTAAAAACATGAATAAAAATAATATGCTTTTTCCATTAACTTTTAACTTTTACCGTAGCCATTTTGGCTCAAGTGCTTTCCAGTCACCAAGAAGCAAAAAGCCCAAGCTTTTCATCGCCTTTGTTATGATGGCCAGAGAGTACACCGGGTATCCTGTGCAGTTTGCGAGCAAAGAGTCGGAGCAATCATCCTCCGCAATGAAAGCCCGATCTCAAGCGATTAAAGCCAAAATGGATGATATCGCACGCGCCGAACAAGATATTTTTGGAATGTATCAAGGATTGAACATTCCTGCGAAGTTCGGACGCGAACAGGACACACGCGGCTTTTCCTACTCGGATAAGCCCAAGCGTTCGAGCGCCAGCCAAGACACTAGGGCGATAATCACAGAGCAACTTAAGATGTTCTGCCCACGTGCACGCATGTCATCTGCAAATGACATGCGTGATGCAAAGACAGCATCGTGCCGCGAAAGGTACGAGGAGCCCCCCAGAAGAGGCGAGGAGTTGTACCGCGAAAGGTGCGAGGAGCCCCCCAGAAGAGGCGAGGAGTTGTACCGCGAAAGGTACGAGGAGCCCCCCAGAAGAGGCGAGGAGTTGTACCGCGAAAGGTACGAGGAGCCCCCCAGAAGAGGCGAGGAGTTGTACCGCGAAAGGTACGAGGAGCCCCCCAGAAGAGGCGAGGAGTTGTACCGCGAAAGGTACGAGGAGCCCCCCAGAAGGGGCGAGGAGTTGTACCGCGAAAGGTACGAGGATCCCCCCAGAAGGGGCGAGGAGTACCGCGAAAGGTACGAGGAGCCCCCCGCGAGGAGTACCGCGAAAGGTACGAGGAGCCCCCCAGAAGAGGCGAGGAGTTGTACCGCGAAAGGTACGAGGAGCCCCCCAGAAGAGGCGAGGAGTTGTACCGCGAAAGGTACGAGGAGCCCCCCAGAAGAGGCGAGGAGTTGTACCGCGAAAGGTGCGAGGAGCCCCCCAGAAGAGGCGAGGAGTTGTACCGCGAAAGGTACGAGGAGCCCCCCAGAAGGGGCGAGGAGTTGTACCGCGAAAGGGACGAGACGCACCGTGAAAGGGGCGAGACGCACCGTGAAAGGGACGAGACGCACCGTGAAAGGGACGAGACGCACCACGAAAAACACGCGGAGTTACAACGATGGGAAGAGTCGTTGCAACGATGGACAGAAGAGTTGCACCGAAAGCACGGCGATATGCAACGAAGGGAAGAGAAGTTGCAACAATGGGAACATGAGGACATGCGTGGCACACGACGAGACTTTGGCGCAATGCAGTCAGAGCCACTTTCGCGGGCCGCTGGAAAGAATGTCCGATGGATAGACGAATCGTGACCAATTCCACTAAATTGGTGACCAATTTCTTCCAGGCAAGATTATAAGACAGCAGATCTTATAATCATTTTTTCGTTTGAAGTTTCACAACAAAACAAAACTTTTTGTTTATTTGTTTATTTCATTATTATTAAAAATCATCATATGTATAAATTTATTAAAAAATCATATCATAAAATAAGACATCATAAAAAATTATTTAAGATACAATACATGATTACATAATATTTCTCATGAAGTTTCTTTTTTTGTTAAATTCTAACCGTTGTATTTAACCATGATATTATATAACAATGTACAAAAAATACTATTTCGCGCGTAATATCCTGGTACATGATTAATTCATGATCTAATTTATTTTATTTTATTTTATTTTATTTTATTTTATTTTATTTTTTTCTTTATTTTATTTATTAATGTATTATCTTATTTACTAATTTTTTATAATATTGTTTATATTATAATTATATTTTATAATTTTTTACAATGTATAATTATAATATCAATATAATATAAATAAAATAAGAAAAATAAGTAAAATTAAAAGAAAATACTAAACAAATCCACGAAAAATTACGCGAAAAAGAAAAACAAGTAAAATTAAAAGAAAATACTAAAAAATTCCACGAAAAATTACGCGAAAAAGAAAAATAAGTAAAATTAAAAGAAAATACGATAAAAATCCACGAAAAATTCACCGAAAAATTACGCGAAAAAGAAAAATAAGTAAAATTAAAAGAAAATGCTGAAAAAATCCACGAAAAATTCCGCGAAGAATTCCACGAAAAAGAAAAATAGGTAAAATTAAAAGAAAATACGATAAATATCCACGAAAAATTCACCGAAAAATTACGCGAAAAAGAAAAATAAGTAAAATTAAAAGAAAATACTAAAAAATTCCACGAAAAATTCCACGAAAAATTTCACGAAAAATAAAAATAAGTAAAATTAAAAGAAAATACTAAAAAATATCAACGAAAAATTCACCGAAAAATTACGTGAAAAAGAAAAATAAGTAAAATTAAAAGAAAATACAAAAAATCCACGAAAAATTCCACGAAAAATTACGCGAAAAAGAAAAATAAGTAAAATTAAAAGAAAATACTAAAAAAATCCACGAAAAATTACGCGAAAAATTACACGAAAAAGAAAAATAAGTAAAATTAAAAGAAAATACTAAAAATATAAATTTTGCTAAACATATTTTTTGGAATTTAATAATTTAAAAATAATAATGTAAATTTTGCTAAACATATTTTTTGGAATTAAAAAAATATTTTCTCAATATAATAAAAAAGTAAAAAATACAGTAAATATTTATATGTGGAATCTTGAATCTTGAATCTTGAATCCATGCCCGATTTAAGTTAAATCGGTTTAAATCGGTGTAAATCGGACTCTGGATTCAAGATTCCCTGCAAAAGTTTGGCCTGGATTCTTGAATCTTGAGTCTTGAATCCATGCCCGATTTAAGTTAAATCGGTTTAAATCGGTTTAGATCAAGCCTGAAGCTTCCAGAACGTCCTTGGAAATGCTTCTTTTTCATTGCTCTCCTCAAAGCCCAAAAAAGGGTAGAACACCCTGCAAATACCAGTGAATTCTTCAAAAAGGTAGGTCCCTGGGGGGGGGGGGGGGGTAACATATATATATATATGTGGTATCCCTCCCAGGGAGCTACCTTGTTGAAGAACTCACTGATACATGTAAATATATATATATATATATACATATATATATATATACATAATATGATATACATATATATATATATATATTTGTGTAACCCCAAATTGATCCCCTGTCCTTTTTGGGGACCGAGGTGGCGCCTTCCGCACATCGCTGGTCTGCCGCCTGGGCCACCGCTGGCGCCGGGCGATCTCGGCGATCGGAGACGCCGGCGACGTGGGCGTCTGCAACGCGGCCATGGCCGGCTGCGCGGCTTGCAGCAGCTGGGAGGCGGGGTAGTTTTGGGTGGTCCAAGAAAGGAGGCGGGGTAGTTTTTGGGTAGTTTTGGGTAGTTTTGGGAGGCGGGGTAGTTTAGCTGCAAGGAAGAAGAAGATACCAACACTCTCAAAAAGCATTCTGGAAGTTGGGTATTGCCCCAGAATTCTGGGGGAGGCGGGGAGGCGCATGGCCGCACCAGACGGATAAGGGGCGCGGCCTAAGTTAGTTGACATGAGTGCAATGGGGGGGGTGTGACTAGATGAGTCCAAGGTGGCGTGTAAAGAGTTTCATGGAGTCCGGTTGGTGTGCAAAATCCACTCGCGGGCTAAGGCGGGGGGTCATTTGGGTGAATGGGTTCCTTTGGGTGAATGTGCCGCCCTTTGAAGTGGACATAGCAACAAAAATAACCCATTGTGTCACGTATGCATTCGCGTGCAACAACACATTGAGGAGTCCTGTTTCTTTCAAGCTCTTTCAACGCCATTCTTCTTTGTTGTTTGACATGCTTCCGTGTCCTGGTCCTTGGGTTGCATGTGGGGGTGTCCAAGTTTGAGGACCCCCTTTTGGATGGTCTTTGTTTCGACTAAAAGGGACCCAACCATTTGTAGAGGGTCAACATGTTCCGGAACGGAAGTTGCGCTCCGAAAATGAACGCATGTGTCGAAGTGGGAAACTAGATGTTCCGAACTGGACAGCTCTATGTTCGGAAACGGACATGTGTCAAATGTTCCGAGATCATCCAATATCGACATCTAGTATAGGCTTCGAAAAAGGTACCAAGATGTTCCGAAATCTGTTCCCTGCTTTGCAAAGCTCTTTCGAGCCCCCAAAAAGGCGGCCGTTTCCGCGTTCTCTCGGACACCCAGAGGGTCCTTCCTGAAAATCGCTGAATTTCTTTTGGGACGCTCCCCCCAAAATGGTGCTGAAAATGGCCCGATCTTGTCTGGGGCTCCCCCCCCCACCGCGCCTTCCGCTCGAAGCATGCCTGGGGCGTCTCCCAGAGGCAGCGCTGGCGCTCCTCCGCAGCCTGGGCGCCTTGGAAATGGGGCCGTTTGGTGGTACTTTGGCTGACAGCTCTCCGATTTTTCTGGCCAGGTTTTCCGAGCTCTTCCACGCTGTTCCCCCTCTCCGAGCTTTGCCGGACAGATGCGCTTATAGGTGTCCTCTTTTGGTGACCAAACGGCAGCCATGTGGGTGTTAATCATTCCTTTCGGTTCTTGGCTCTTTGGTTTTTATTTGGTCGCTTGCCCCCCCCCCCAAATAAAAGGACAAGATAAGTGCACCTAAGATAGAAGAGGCACCTTCATGGCGCAAAGCGCGGAGGCGACTCCGCAGATCTCATCAGCTACTCCACGAGCATCAGCTGCTTGGCTGCAAGCAGTCGTGTGGGACGTTCCTGGAACGGGGGACCCGTTGACTCTCTGAGATTTGACCTGGGATCCAAATATATAGCCGTGGCTCAAACAAAAACGGTACCAAAATGGCACCCTGGTAAGTGGAAACATGGACCAAGACCTGCGGTTTGCCCCTCCTGTTTAATGTTGAGCCACACCCAAATGGCCGTGGGTCAACACCAATGGGATCCCATTTTGGGGTAGGTGAATGCACCACCCACTTTAGAGGTGGTTGGATTGAATCGGATGTTCACTCGGGGTACGAGTTGGATTTTGACCCATGGCCAAATAGGGGGACATTGAGAAGGAGGTTCCTCTCAAGATGATGGCTTGTTGTTGAGATCCATGATGATCTGGGGGCGTTCCCCTTTGTTTCCCTTGAAGACCGTCCGAAATAAGGAGGGGTTCGTCTGTTTCGGGCACGCAGTTTTTCGCACCTCTTGACACCGGCGTGCTTTTTTTTGCCCAAAGCTCTTCTCTGTTCATCTGGCAGTTCCAACGAGACCATAGCTGACCTTATGTGGATTCCGTGATTTGTTGGACCCCGCAAGGATCCTCACGGCACATGTGTCCCTCCAGATTGGATCGTGTTGTGAGCGTGAACAAGATCTGTACATTTGGTCGTCAGGATGTGTTGCAAGCGCCGGATTTGAGCTTGTGCGCGACTGGAGGCTGTCATCTTTTGCTTTGTGACCTGATCAGTTTCCTGTCATCTACCTTCATGTTGCGTCCCCAAAACTTGGAAGGCGACTGAACCCAGATACGGGACTTAGCAAACGTTCAAGGTTCTTGTTCGTGATCAACGTTAAACTGGGCCTCAACCTGTGGTTGGAGGGGTGAAAGATTCAACTTGAGAAACGGTTTCTGGGAGTGCCTTCCAACGTGGAAACAGTTCAGAGAGGGGAAGGCCACAGTCACAGGTTGCTTCGGCATGAATTCCCCCCTCGACCCCCAAAGCAAATCAAGGCCTTGGCCGGCCCCGCCCCCCCCCCCAAAATATAAAAAAAAAGGTCAACCTCGCCCCAAAACTCATGCCTCCAAAAAAGAAAAAACAGGCAAGCAACTCCAAAATCCCATGCCCGCACACCCGACCAAAAGGCAAACTCCACCCGGCGCCGCCCCCTGGGCTTCGGCTTCGCTCGAATTTTCAGGCTCCCTGGAGGGCGACGGAGCTCGGGCGCTGCAGCTGCTGGCGGAGCTGCGGGACGCGGAGCTGCGCCCTTGGCGTGAGATGGGCGAGCGGGTGTGTCGATTTCTTGGCGGCTCGGTACCCTCCTGGATCGCCAGGGGTGTTTTCGCTTTTCTCCATGCACTGTACCCCGAAAACCGATCGCAGCAGTGACCGAAAACAAAGCGATCGCAACTTGGCTATCCAGGCTGTTTTTTGGGTGGTTTTAAACGGAAGCCAAAAGGAAAGTCACTCATTTTGGAGGCTGCGCCAAAAAAGGACACACACACACACACACACGCGTGTGTAGGTCTGTCCTTTTTTGGGGGCTAGGTTCTTAATTAGCAGGAGAACCAAAAGGAAACCTGAACGCCATTTTGGGGTGTCCGATTCCTGAAGAAACGCACGCATGTGGACAAATTGTTGGGGAAACTAATTGGAACGACGTCACGTTTCGGGCCGGGAGTTGTACGATGTCACTCATGAAGGATCCTTTTATTATGTTCGGTTGGTTAATTAGTCACTACAATGTAGCCATCATGCCGAGGTAAAGCATAGTAAAACGTGCAGGATACAAGAAAAACAAAAACAAAAACGTCTTGCTTGGATTCCTGAGCTCCAGGTGAATTGTAGTAAATTGCCCAGATACATTTGAGATGCATTCAGAACAGATGCGCGCCGCAGAGTTACAATCAGGAAGCGCCACCTTTTTTTCCCCGGAAATAAGGTCACGGGTCGCTTCAAGGAAATGCTCAGTTGTTCAAAGCCGACCTTTTGACCTTTTGGTCTTCCCATTTTGGTCTATTTTTAGGGCCCCAAAAGGTTAACCTTTTAGTTCCAGGTCCTTTGGGCAACTGAGAATGGCCATGGGTCAAAATCCCGTACCCCCAGTGAACATCCCAATCCCCACTATAGACTAAAATGGGTGGTGAATGCACCTACCATTTCCAAAATGGCATCCCAAAACGGTTTTGACCACCACAGCCAACTCATGCGGCGCTTCAAGGAGACTTCTGAAGTGGGGGACTTCTCATGGGTTGGTCAAAACCCAGGCAGCCCACCGTGCGCACCGAACGCATGCCTTGTCTCGGCGCCGGAAGCCGCGAGGCGCCCGGACGCGCGGCTGGTGGGGGCGGTGTTGGGGGCCACCAGCTGGGAGACGGGCCTGGAGATCCTGGAGGCGCAGAGGCCGGAAGTCAACCCGCAGCAATCAGATCCCTGAGATCCTGGCCCCTGGATGGCTTGGGGAACCAAAAGGAAGTTGAAACGGACAAGCTCCCAACCTAGGCTTTTTGGGTGAAAAGTCCTCTCAAATATCTCTCCCCGACTGTTAAAAGCATCCTTCACCAACCAAAGGCAATGAGTTTGACTTAGTCTTCAAAACAGAAGCGACGGGGGACAGTCCAAACCATAAACAGAAGCGGCTTCAAGCCCTTGAAGGATGATTGCTACTAGCAAGACGTCCGTGTGCGGTTTTGGTGACCTTCCGATCTTTCCTGCTGGGGTTTGTTTGTTGACCAAGGGATAAGTTGGCATATTTCGGCCTGGACAACACCGCAAGCCTGGCAGCTGATCCCAGTGACACCTGGCACCGATTTTTTGGGGGTCCTTAGGATATCAAAGGAAGAGGCAAACCACCGGGGCCCCCTTGAACAAAAACTAATGTTCGAAGCACTCATCAAAAGATGTCTGGAGACTTACCCCACCTACCCCACCTACCCCACCTACCCCACCTACCCCACCTACCCCACCTACCCCACCTACCCCACCTACCCCACCTACCCCACCTACCCCACCTACCCCACCTACCCCACCTACCCCACCTACCCCACCTACTCCACCTACCCCACCTACCCCACCTACCCCACCACCCCACCTTCCTCTTCAGCGGAGGGCCTGGGGCCTGGAAACGGACCTGGTGTGCCAGAACCGGTTTCTCGCTGCCGCGGAGCAGCAGGCCCCGCTCCGGGGTCGTTTCCTTTTGTTTTCTCTCCTTCCCAGATAGCCACGTTGCGATCGCTTTTTCAGTCACTGTTGCGATCGGTTTTTGGGGTAAAGTGCATGGAAAGAAACGGCAGCTGGCGATCCAGTTTTGGAAACTCCAGCCAGTTCCCGTGTGGAGTTGGTACCCCTTCTGGAGCGGTTCTATAAGGAAACCTCAAGGCATATCACCATGTGTCTTTTTTTGCTGGGGGAGGGGGGGGGAGTCCAGTTGAAAACCCAAGGAAGACAAAGTTGCAGGGTATCGTGTTTTGTTCTTTTTCTCCCCCAACGCCAAGCTCTTGTGAAAAGCTAAACCATCCTTTGCGGATTTATCCACCAACTTCTTGTGAGATGGTTCCCCTAAAGTTCATAGCCATATGGCTATGTCTTTTGTATAAGGAGCTCCTTAAAATGGTTCGGGGGCATATAATTCCTCATGTAAATCATGTCCAAAGAGTTCCGAATTCACATTCGCGCCCATATCAAGCCTCAAGGTGCACAACGCGAATCGAGGAGGGTTTGTTCACTGTTTTGCTCCATGGCTTAAACCTGCTCGGTCACCTCAATCAGTGAGAAAAGGGTGTGGACAAAGGGTTTACGTCGAGGGGGAAGGGGTGAGGCCTAAAGATGTGATATGCATCACCTGGCAATGCAAATCACTGAATTTCCGGTGCCAAGCGACACCGCTTTGCTCACTGTGTTCTTCGGGTCTGCCTTTGACCCCATATCGCACATCGATCTCCGCCTCATGCCTTGCGTCACCGCCTTCGGTTGTCGACGAGATCATGTTTGAGTTGCTTCACTTTTGGGCATGTCCGCACTTGTGTGTTGGTTCTTTACCTTTCCATCTTCGAAGATTACAGAAATCGCAAAGCGCTCCGCACCGATGCCGTGGGAAACAACCACTTCTGTGATACAACAAAAAGGGCTTCCCAAAGACTAACACCTCATGTAAAGGGGGAGATTCCCTTGTATCACAGACGTGGGAATAAACCCCTCCACAACCCTGCCTATGGCCCTCGGTTTCACCCGGGCTCGCCAATCGCCAGGAGCAGTGGTTGCAAGCCACGGCCCTCCTGCGCCGCTTGGGTTTTTGGGTTCGGATCCGGGGATCGCACGACAAGGGCCCGATTGTTCATTCTCACTTGCCCAAAGCGAATCGACCTTTGACCTTTCGTTTTTCCCTTTTGGTTCAAGCGTTTTTGGCCTTTGGTCCCAAAAGGTTAACTTTTTCGATCCGTCGATCCAGGGTTGACCGAAGTGGCACTTTTGGTGGACACCACCCAAAAAAAATGGCAACGCTCATCATCCGACCCCAAGGGCATTTGGACGTGCAAGGGTCCCATGAAAGAAGCCGCAACTTCCCTCAACTGTGTGACTGGGATTTGCCGCCTTTGTGCTTTGCAAAAGTGACGAGTCCGACATTTTGAAGTCCAAGATGGCTTGAATGAAGCAAAGATGTGGCCACTGGCCTGCCTTCGCTTTCAAAGACCAGCTCAGGAGAAGCCCCCCACGGGCATCGTTTTGGTCAGAGAGGCAGTCAACAAATTTCAAGCTCCGAAAGACATCCCGCGGAGGCGTCGAATATGGACATTGGACCGCCACAAAACGCTTTGTTCAGGCTCTGGCTGCAACACATGGGCTGCCTATGTCCCGAGGCTCCACGCAGCTGATGTGTATGTTCCAACGTGGACTTTGTCTACGGGTTGGAGCGAAACACAGGACCCACGCCCAGAATATGTGTCTTGAGGGTGATTTCAATATGAGCAAAAGCTCAAGATCGCGAATCCCATGATGGTGGCTTCACCTGTTGAGTTGCTGTTTGATTTCAAGTCCAGAAGAACGGGGGATGGTCGCTTCAGGTTGGTTCAGCCGCTTCGTTGTCATGGAACGAAGGGATTCCTGGGCTGCCTCACCTTCCAAAAAAGAAGAAAAGCAACAGGCAACAAAGCAAAAACAAAACTCCCCAACCTCCCCGGCCTCTCTCCCCCCAAAAAAAGAAGGCAACCACCAACACAGCGAACAAAGCTCAAGCCCCGGCCTGCGCGCCGCTTTCGCTCGCGCTACTGGCTGTGGCTCCAAAAACCGGAATTCCAAAATGGGTTACCCTGGTAAGTGGAAACATGGGTACCAAAACCAGCGGTTTGCCCCTGCGATCAAATTTTTAATTTTGAGCCACCACTCGCGCCCTTCGCTGAGGCGCGAGCTTCGCCGCGGATCTGGTGACGTGGAACTCGGTGCTGAGCGCCATGGAGAAGCGGCGCCAGTGGCGGGAAGCCTTCCAGCTCTTGCGCCTCGGCGCTGATTTTCCGAGAAAAGCTAAAAACGACGGGGGTTGCTGGTTTTCCAAAAAAAGACGGGGGGGAAACGGGGGTGGGTGCGGCCCCTTTTAGATGGGTTTGAGGGGAACGCCTCCCATTTCGGGTATTTGTTGTTTTCTTGAAGGGGTATGGTTGCAAGTAAAACGAGTCGTTGTAAACCCCAAGGTGGACTGGAAGAGCGTGGATATGTTTAGCGATCCGGCATCAGTTTCCATGGATATCGATTTTGGGGGCCATGAGCGTTTTGTTTTTGTTGGAAGGGGCATGGTACGGCAGGCAAATGCGGTCCTTCCCAGGGTCCCGGATGAAAACAAACCCACCTGGCTGCTGGGGGACATGGTGGTTGTGTTTCTTGCGTTTGTTTCGGCATGGATGCCACTGCTTACCCTCCCAGCTAACATGGGTTTGTGCACAGACCCCTGAAAGGCAAAGACTACTTTCCTCCTGGAAAGGGCCTTTTTGCACTGACCCATGGGTATCACATGTCGGGCTGGCAAGGAAGGGGGCAAAACCGTGCAAAGCCTAGCGGCTTCAGAGGGACCCCGGGGACCCCGGACGGAATCCGCTTCGCACCGTTTCGAGTGAAGCCATGGTTGAAACCAGTTGTTGGCATTTACAGGGAAATCATGTTTTTTTTGTTTTTTCCCGGGTTTCTCAAGGGTGGTGCGAAATGGATTTCGTCCATCCACAGTAGCACTTGAAGGTTCATGATGAAGGGGGTACTTTGTGGGATTAGTATTTCTGGTTCTCGTTCAGCTAGGGGCATCGAACCATGGTTCCATGTCTCTTAAATCTTTAAATCCCGGGCGCCAATTGCCGGCCATCCGTGGATAAGTTTTTTAGGACCCCCCCCAAATGTGCGGGGGGATTCTCCGAAAAAAGACACCCATGTTGCTTTGCAGGGTTGTAGACGGGAGGGTTAGGCCGAAGTTGCCAGAACAACCAGACTCTGATCCCGTTTGAAGGGAAGCCTCGAGCAATGGGGGGTTCCCCAAAAAAGTCTCTCTAAGATGGTTTTTGGGATCCATGTCAATCAGGGGAGTGAGGATCCCAAAATGGGAGCAGTTCCACTTTGCTCTTTTCGAGGTTGTACCAAGGGATGCCAAAAGGAAACCCGGATCGGTAACAGGAGCATGGTTCTGGACAATTGGCTTGGCTACTTTCTGTCAGTGGCGAAGGGAGTGCCCTTCAAAGTCATGGGAATGACCCAGTTGGTTTTTGCCCAACCATGAACCCAGTGGTTCGACCAATTCCTAGTTTGAGAGCCCCCAACCGGATAGTCCGTCCCAAGGGTCCGGACAAAAACTTTTTTCTCGGATGGTTCAGGGCCGAGGAGTTGGTCGCTTTGGGTTGTCTATGGAACCTTTCGGCCGCACGGGTCATAGTTGCGCATACGGGTCATAGCCCCTATGATTAAAAAACAAAAACGGTCTAAACAGTTACCGATCCGTACTTGTGACTCAGTTTGGCTTGGTACCCCACACCTCCATTCTAATTGTTTAGCCCCTCCTGGTGGATTGCATATGGCCATGAATGTCAACCGACCCTTACATCCAAATTCGGGGATTGTGTCCGCCATTGCGGGTGTGTCCCATGAACATTCATACCTCAAGGGCGGAAAGTAGTTGGTTCAACGGGAGAAAAAGAAAAACAGAGATGTTCTTGCTGCATGCCAGCATTGAAAGGGTGTCCCATGAACATAGCCATTGTTTCTGGTAATCATTTTACATCCAAACAAGATGAACCATGGAACTGTTGAGAAATACCAATACCCCTTATATACCACATACATAATGGTACCCCCTGACATACCACATACGCAAGGGTTCATTGGAAAAGGCCGTGAACTGTTGAGAAATCCCCCGTAAAAATGCCCCATGAATTGGTACATAGCCATTGTTGGAACCCGAAGTCTACTTAGTCTTACACGGGCCTTTTTCAATGACCCCAAACATGCACATACATACATACACGTGGGCTTCTGAACTACACTTGGTGGGTACCACATACCTTTATACCCTCAATATGATCGGTTATATGCCACATACATAATGGTTCATTGAAACAAAGGCCATGAACTGCTTCTACATGGATTGGGATGTTCACTGGGGGGTAGGATTTGGATTTTGACCCACGGCCAAATGGTTGTTCAGAGATCCGCAAATACACTTCTGACGCTCTGGTTGGTACATGTACGTATACCTACCCTCATCAATGGCTTGGTGAGGACTCCGGCGCGCGTTCGC